CTTTCTTCTTATTGTTATTATTATTCAAGGTGGGCTGCGTCCGCGGGAGTGGCGGACCTCTGGAGCCTGTCTACCCCCACAGGAATGCGGACTGTCTCTGATTTCCGTACCGTCCCCCTCCTCGCCTCCTCTCTGCCATTCAAAGCGGCTAATTGTAGGGGAGACAAAGCGAGAGCGACTGCAGATTGTCTGCAGCGAGAGGCAGACATTTTCCTTATGGGAGCTGGAAATAACTAAAGCACTCCTTGAGTGGTGGAAAATAATTATTCCATGGGTAGGAATAATAATAATAATAATAATAATAATAATAAAAAAAATAATAATAATAATAATAATAATAATAATAATAATAATAATATATTTTAATACCTTAAAAAGAAAATGTCGTTTTAACACATTGCTTTGTTGCAGAAATCCAGCTCTCTAAACGCATAATATTTTTTAAATTATTTTAGCTTTAAGATTATTTTCTTGCTTTCAAAACAAAAAAAATCTGGATCAAACGTCCCAATTCAAGCAGAGAAAATAGATTTAGCACCAGAACGACGCATGTTGTTAAAATAATTATAATAATAAAATTGACCAAAGAAAAACAATTCCAGAGGCTTTTAGGAGCCTTCAGGGTTATTTTGAATCGATTTATCCTCAAACGTATGCTGCGTCAGATTGAGGTGTCCCACCTGTCAGTCTGCCTGTCTTTCGGTTTGCGTTTAAAACTGTAACAACTGAGACAATGGAGAGAAGCGGTGGGTTCAAAGCTCCTTTGTCCATTTAAACGTTTAATAGTCTTCCAAAAAATGCAATAAATTACATGCACACATTTACACATTTTACACGTTTCCTCTATGACTGTCATCAAATACATTGCATATTCCTCTGAAATGTGAACGAGTCCCATAGAAGGAAAAAATAACAATAAAAAAATAAAAATCAGCCAAATGAACAACAGGGGTTTTGTTTTTCTTCTCAGTATAACGTCCCAGTTCCGAGTGCCAACGAGTGCTGTATTGAGTTCGGGGTCTGAAGGTGGGGAGCCATGGAGCTGCCGGCGGGGGTGTACCAAGACGGCGTGTTGTCCAGAAAGTTAGACGCCACCGTGTTGATGCTCTGTGGCTGCAGGCCGTGCGCCCTGGAGGGGCCCTGCGTGTCCCACACGGCCGGAGACTGAGGAGAGTTGCAGGCCATGGGGTCGCTGGAGCTGGGGCTGTGCTCCGGGGGAAGCTCGCCATTTTTCATGATCTTCTTCATTTTGGATCTTCTGTTCTGGAACCAAATCTTCACCTGAAATAGAAGCAACATTAAGTTAAAACTCTTTATCTTTATCTTATGGCACCGACAAGCGCACGGTGCGTAAAATGCGCCACAGCAATTCTGTTTTTCATTCCTAATAATAAATATCTAAAACGCATGAATATATGTATTCTAACAGGAAGCGGTTTGAGGTGATAAAAGCACACCTGTGTCTGCGTGAGACCAAGCGAGGCAGCGAGCTCGGCTCTCTCCGGCAGCGCCAGGTACTGAGTGTTCTGAAACCTCCGCTGCAGGGCGGCCAGCTGGAAACTGGAGTAAATCGTCCGAGGTTTCCTCACCTTCTTGGGCTTCCCGTTCACCATCCGAACCTCAGGTTCGCTTATCTCTTTTTCTATAAAATAACAACAATAATAATATTAAAGAGACCGTCGGGTTACCAAATGAACAAATCTTCAAAATAACCTTTATTTTCTAAAAGTTCTTAATACAAAGCAAAGTGTTTATTATTTTTATTTTTGAGTTACAATAAAATTAATTTAGAAAAATAATTTTCTGAACATTTAGGATTTATTAACTGGATTTTGTTTCAAATATATTTGTTGTGGATTTTAAAGACAAAACCATCAATCGAATTGAAGAAAATGAGCAGATCTTGTGTTTTTGTTGATAATCCTTACTCTGCATGATTTCACACGAACCGATCCGAATCGGGCCCGTACCTTGAGGACTCTGCTGGGCTTGCACTCTGCTGTAAGTCCCGGCATACTGGTGGTAGGCTGGGGTCGTGTACGAGCTGTAGTCACTGTAGGACTTTGTGGAGTAATTTCCAGCGGATCCATTCACGCTCGGGTACTGGTACTGATAGGCGCTGAGGGGCTTCCCGTACGAGGAGGAGCTGGGAGAGCAGTAGCCGTGAGGGACTCCGCCGGCGGGACTGTAGTAGCCAGAATCCGTGGCTGAGGATTCGGGTAAAGTAGGAGATTCCTGAGACGGATGGTGCATGGCGGAAAGCTGGAAGGAGCTCTGGAAATCTGCGGGTTTCACACTCGGGATCCTCCGATCAAAAACTCCTGTCATCATTCGAGAAGAATTTCGTTGATTTAGTTTATTTAATGAGCCAAAAGCACAAAAGAAAAGAGGAAATCAACTCCAGATCGGTGTGCAGATCACGCTCTCATTGTGTCGAGAGGCTCTCGGGCCGTCGGGCTCTGCTGAAGACTGCAGCCAGCCCCGCAGCAAAGACTTGGTTAAATCCTAAAACGCGCTCTTACGCACTGCAGGGAGGATCTGGTTCCATTGGCCAAGGCGCACACAGACAGCTACACCCAGTTTACTCCGCCAGCTTCCTTGAGAGGAGGGGACCTCTCGGGTTGTTCCACAGCTCTCGTTCTAGCAACAAATTATACTTTACAGGGATGAATCACAAATAATAAAACCTACCATAAACGCTTTATTTCTTAAAACGTCTCTACGAAAAAATCTTTTTTCCTTTTATGAAATAAGCAAAGTATTTGCTTTTCTTTAAACGAGAAAAAACACAAATTAACTCATTTATATTATTGTTTTTTCTTACTTTTTGATATGAATATTGCAGTATTATTTATACAATCAAGCACGTGATTAAACGACTCATTATATATTATCTGGGAATCTGTAACACGATGAAGCTGTTGTGGTTACATTTTAATCGGTGGAGATTAAATGATCGTCGTGTTAATCCACCCAGAACATTAAAATCGGTCGCTTTGCCTCCATTTAGTGGTAAACGTTGCCCCCTAGTGGTCGTATATGTGAACTACAGTCACACATTTCTGGAAGAAAAAAGCATGGATGAACAATTCTGTTTAAAGTTAAAAATGGTTACATTTGACAGGAAATGTAAAAAGTAAAATTTGATGAAGGGCATAAAAAACAAATTCCTAACCAGAGAGGGAACTGAATTTCAGCATTCCAGAAGAAACACAATTAGAAGAATGTTACAGATCCATCCATCAACTTTAGATAGAGTGACTCTCGCACTGTGTCCTCACTCTGTTGTAAATTATTTGTTGCAGCCTGTGGTCTTAAACGGTGTTACAAAGTGGCTGAACTAGTCTGTCCAAAAAAGAAAAGGTGAAGTGGATGCAGTGGTCCATCAGGTCCTTATAGGCTATGAATCATAGAAATCTGCTCAGTGTCTTAACATTTTCTGCTTCAACGAATTTCTGTTAATTTAGACACAGTAAAAGGACCACATTACCTGCATGTGCATCATGTACATCACACTTCATGACTGATAACCGCTGCAAAATGTAAAAACCCTTTTTGGTTCATCATAATGTAAATTTGTCTGCCTTTGTTACCAAAAACCGTAGTTTGAGTGCATCCGAACCTACATCATAACACGGAGCCAAACAGCCTGTTTCCCATCAAAAACAACGTGATTTGTCCCTCTGTGTCCCTGAGACGGAATGGAGACACGTCTAGGGTGTCCTCCACCTCTCATCTAATGACTGCTTGATATAGTCACTAGACATTTTGAAAATTAATAAACATGTGTGTGTGTGTAACTCGTCATGAAAAAAGAACAAACACATATAAATAGTCCCTGAACCTCTATACTGTCTGTGTAATCAGTTCTCCTCATATCATTTTAGTGTTTTATTCATAATCAACTTCTGACATGCGCACTTTACACCAAGCAAGTTTTAATTAAATATTTTCACCATCAAAATATAAAAAGCAAACCACAAACAAGTTGATTTCAGATTGCTGAAGCTTCCCATATCACATTAAATGTTTTAATGCATAGCAAACTAAAATGTGTATTTCAGCCGCTTTATTACCCCGGAAATACTTCTTCGGTCTTTAAGTTGTTCCTGTGACTTTTTCTTTTTAGTGACTTTTAAATGATACGCATCGGATATCAGTTTAATGATGTCGCATCAAAGTTTAGCTCTGATGAAAAATGAAAGAATAGTTTTTCCGAATTTTCGCTTTTGATTCGGATGGACGCTAAGAGCGCGCAACGTGCGTCTGATGTCACTGAACCTTCCCGCTGGCAAGATAAACCTCCCCATTCATGAGCATTAACTTTTCCACCATGATCGAGCCAAATAACACTGTTAAAGATAACGAGCGATGTTTGAATGAGTTAGCGACAAATTGGTAGAGACGATGTATCAGAAAAACTTATTTATTCAAGTAGAAAAACACTAGAATTCCTGAACGTGCAGCTCTTTTTTTCAGTCTGATAGTGAGGAGTAATTCATTAACATTTTCATTTATGTTTGTGCAGTTTCAAAGTTAGCTCATTCAAATTACATTTCTGACATGTGAATCCAATAAACTGATTAAATCATGATTCTATGTCAGATAATATGACACAAAACAGAAGCTTTGATCGGTTTTGAGAACGAAAGCCCAACAGCGGAAGTGGACGACAGCGAGTTCTCTTGCCCCGCAGGGATTTCAATGCCTCCGTTCGTCTCTGCTCTCGTTTTGTGTTGGGGGGATGGGGTCGTGCAGAGGATGAGAGACTCCAATATTTACCACTTGGCTAACTAAACTTCTTTATCTTCACCTTAGTTTGTTGGAAATACCCAAGTCTGTAGGTTCTGTGTGAGGTTAGGCGGAGGTTGGTCTTCTAAAAGTGGAGTACCGGTCGTCCACCATACGCTCAAAAAGTCGACAAAATGTATTCAGCTGGAGGTAAGTGCTACTAACCATTAGCATCGACTAAGTGGATGATGGATTTCTTTCCAGAACGGCATCAATCTACTGCCGATACATTCTCCGGTTTTGTTTTAATTAACTTATTATTATAAAATAAGTTCTTCAACGAATGATGCATCCTCGACTTAGTGGAGGCGTTAGTACCAAAAGCGAGTTTAGCTGCATTAGCCAAGTTAGCTTTAGCGGCACCTCGTTTCCCCAACTTGGTAAACTTCCTCTGCCCTTAAACGAGGTGGAATGCAGTCACTCGACAAACTGTATAATATTCAACACACATGGTGGGTTTTATTTGCTTTTTTCTTTAAAAGCTGCCACATGCTAACAGTAGCATTTAGCGGCAGCTCATGCTTCCTAATCTCAATCACAAATCATACAAATGGTTACCATAAATGTGTCAAATGAATAGGTTTAAGTTCATTTACATTCTACATCATTTCCCACAAAATTTGTAAAAAATCGAGAGTTGGAGCAATTTTGCTCGCATCCTAAGCAAAGATGGGACGATGTATGTAAACAAAACCAGAATGCAAGCATGTGTTTGTCACGTAAGACCACATTTTTAACATCCGACACAAATACAGCAAATCATAAATATAATTTCTGGGAAAAGGGATGATTTCTGCTTTGAACCACAAGCTCGTTAGAGTAAAGTGGGGATAACTAATGACGTTTGGCTCATGGGCAACAACAAGTTAGCTTGATTGGGTTCAAATTAACATCTGTCATATAACTCATTCTCACTCTCACACACACACACACACACACACACACACACACACACACACACACACACACACACACACACACACACACACACACACACACATATATATATATATATATATATATATATATATATATATATATATATATATATATAGACATGTTTCATCTACATTTTATTAAGACATTAAGAATGTTTCTTTTTGGCAGGGCAGGTGGTAATTAAGTTTATTTATTCTTTATTTAACCAGGAAGGTCCCATTGAGATTAAAAACTTCATTTTCAGGGGAGTCTTGGGATTGGTTAAAAAATATATAATCAACAGTTGAATAATGGCGATTAGTTATCTGCTTAAATGCTGAGGTAGGAAGGAAAATGCAGAAATTTAACGAGAAAAGTTTATAAGCAGTTTAACTTTTTTATGCAGAGGCTGAAAATAATCACCTCTGCCATATTTCATTTGCATCTATACCTTCAGGCATTTGTTCTTCTCCATGAGCCTTATTGAAATAAAACTAAACAATGAGCTGAACTGTATCAGTTCTGGGCTGTTTCCTTATGAACGGGTGGCTACATTTATGCTAGATTACCAGCTCGTTTCATCCCGTCTGTGTGTTTGTAGATTAGACATACTTCATTGCAGACGATGGTGCTGGCCGGGATGTGATAAAAGACCGTCTGAAATAGTTAACGATGTTCTGAATTAAAAAATATTTAAAATGGGAGATTTTTTTTCTTTTTTCCAGGTTTTTTATAAAGATTTCTGACTCTATTTGCATTTAATGCTGTAAAACTAGATTTCTGTTTTGTGTTGGGTGCTTTTTTTTGTTTAAGTACAGAGTACTTGAGTCCAAGTTGGATCTTAAACATTTCTAACGTATAATTTTATCCCCTCTAGGTGCTGAGGTTATGGAGAGGCCACATTCTTCTGGGTCCATAAGCTCTGGTAAGCTTTCTTACTTCTAAGCTCTGGTCCCAGGAGAAACATGATATATTAAAAAAAAATATATATATAAATATATATATATATATATTACACCTTTCTGTCATAATGAGATGCACTCTACACAGTTTAACTTCTGATTAGATTATTAAATTATCTACAGAGTATTTCAGCAGGGCTTTGGAGCTTATACCTGTGAAATGCTGATTTTTTTTTCTGTGAAGGACTTTGTATGTCTTATACTGATGTAGTCATTTAAGCTTTGTTCAGCCAAAACGCAAAGTGCTGATGTCATGTGAGCCGTTTACTCACATCCAGGGTATCCGCGGGTCCTTAAAAAGTCTTAAATTTACTTTTCCAAATTTAAGGCCTTGAAAATCCTTAAAAATGACAAATAATCCTTAAATCCAGTTTCCAATGGTCTTAAATTACCAAAGACCCAATAAACAAGATTATTTTATTTCTATAAAAATTTTCGTGAATTTCTAAATTTGGCTCCCTTAAACCTGCAGATACCCTGCACATCTTATAAAAACTCCACATGTTTCTATTAAATTGACACCAGAGACAATTCTGAGATGCTTCTCTTTGTGGTGTAAGAGTCCTGGGGGGAGAAAGCACGTCACTGGTGTTTCAGTCAGCTGGTCGTCTGCTCGGTGCATCAGGGTCATCGAAGGGTGTTTGTATGAATGACCAGAACTGGAGAGTGGAGATAAGGCAGTGAAGGAGTCTGTGTCTGTTCTGACACACTCCGATATCACAGGACCTCTAGAATAATCAGCTCCCATTAATAATAATAATAACAACCTGTTTATTTTCCTGGCTGTGCTTATAGGAATACCTCAGTGTGGATAACTGAATGTGCTGGCCACTGAAACTCCCAGTAAATTAAAGAAATGTCTAGTTTTTTCTTTTTAACATCAGATCAGTGTCTTGAGATGACACTTGTGACATGTCTGTATAGAAATTAAATGAATTGGATTACGATTTTAAATCAACGCTTCATACATTTCCTGCTTCACCCTCCTGCTTGTCGAAAACAAACAACTGTCCTTCAACATCCTGCTGTAGCTAGTGCTAACGACTAGCTACTGCTAACACAAGCCAATGGAAGCTAAATTAACCACAATGTTAGCATTTATGTTAGCTAACGGCACAGTAAACAGCTACTGCCATAAAGCAGGTAGAGACCTCCCACTGCTGGGGCTGCAGTAGAGCAGGTTGTCCAGCAATCGGAGAGTTGTAGGATCGATCCTGGCTCCCGGCAGAGAATGCTGCTGTTGTGTCCTTGGGCAAGATGCTTAACCCACCTTGCCTACTGCTGGTGGTCGGAGGGACCGGTGGCGCCTGTGCTCGGTAAAAATTATGATTCAAGAAACACTAAAACTAGTTTGAAAGCAACAGTTTAAGGTATTAAAAACTCTTCAGTGCAAGTAGACCGATATGTCAGTGGGCCGATATTTGTCCTGAGTAAAGAAAAAACGATCTTTTATAAGCGCCTCTCAAGATAAAAATCACGAGGTGCTTCACAAAAACAAAAAAGTATATAAAAAAAAGATTTTAAAAATGATTTAAAATGTTTAAAATGAAAAAAAAAATGAATTGTGATTAAAAAATACAAGGAAAAGGAGAGAGAAAATGAAGAGGAAATAGGGAACAAGAGCAGAACAAGGAAAGGGTGGTGACGAAGGTCACACCTAAGCCTGAACAGGTTAGTTTCAGCTGCTTTTTAAAGGAGACCACTGAGTCCACTGATCTCATGCTCAGGGGGAGAGAGGTCCAGAGTCTGGGGCCACAGCAGCAAATGATCTGTCATTTGCAAAGCTAATCTAAAGTCAGGCGCATCCTCGGGAAGCCCGGTGCAGCTGCAGAATTTCATTCAAATGTATTTTTACATTCACTAAAATCTGCCTTAAAAAAACTCTGAATTAACTTTTTTTAGGTGTCTGATTTTAACAGGAAGCAGTGTACAAAGTTACAATGTAACAGCTAGTTAAATTCAGAGTTCAAAAACTGATTTAGCTTCAGAAATTTTGAGCATCAACTAATTTTAATACTGACATTTTACCATGAAAATGAGGGGGAAAACCTCTAGGTATCAGCATCAGTATTGGCAGTAGGAAAACCAATATCGGTCCACTTCTACTCTTTAGTGTTGCGACAAAGCTACTGGCTGAAACACTTGGCCATTCATTTTCTCTTGACCTGAAGCACATGTGTCAGACACAAGGCCCGCGGGCCAGATGCGGCCCGCGGAGCATTTTTATGTGGCCCGCGAGATAAATGTCAAAAATATATTTAAACTGACCCACTGGCTGATTTCACCGCAAAGACTACAACTCCCATGATGCTTTTAGGGATGCACCGATGGATCGGCATTTGATCCCAATCGGCCGATAGCGCCCCTATCGGTTTTGATCGGAGTTTTCAAAATAGATCAAAGCAGACCGATCAGGTAGGGTTGTCACGGTAACCGGTGTAGCGGTAAAAAAGTTGACATTAATAAAACCGTCTTGTTTTAAAAAAAACTATATTATCTCGGTGGGTTTACCGTGGCTGCGGTGTAGGCGCGGTGACCCTTACCAGCCATCGTATCATCTGCTGAAGTTGCCGGCGGCACATGCGCACTTTGTTGTTTACAACCAAAACTTTCTTGAAGCTAAAGCTGAAATAATGGTCAAAGGAGGAGACGGCAGGGCTCAGGACATTTTTTATCCCTCAAAAAGGACAAAGTCAGAAGTACGGGCATATTTTGGATATTTGAAGAATGCCGAGGGAGTTTATAGAAGACGGACGGACGGCTATCCTGTTTGCAGCACGAGCAGAAAAAGTGTCTGTGAAAGGCAGCAACGCTTCTTATCTCATGACACATCTGCGTGACCATCACCCACAACTCTGCAGTCAACGCAAGGCAAGCTAACGTTAGCGTTTTAGCTAAAATGCGTGATCCGAGCATTTGGGTTGAGGGAGAAGGCAACGAGTCGCTATATAAAGCAGCCGCAGCGCCGCTACCTGCATATAAACCGTGTCGCGGACACCGCCATGTTGAAATGACGCTATGCATTACGGGGCTCCCAGGGGCAGATAAGAGTTGGTCTCTCTCCGAGAATAATTATGAATTTAACAATGATTACTGCCTGATGACATTTTCCCACATCTGCAAAGCTCACTGGAAGGACAAACCGAGGACAATATTTTCCTGATATAGGGTTTATTACTCAAGTAAGGGTAAAAAAGTATCTGATTAGAAGGCTACTTGAGTACTGAGTATCATCTGATGTAATACTTTTAAAATGATGACATCAAACAGACATAAAATAAGAAGTTATGGGCAAATATTGTTTTTTTTTTAAAGACTAAAGGGGAAACGTAAACAAATAAACAACATAATTACAAAATAACACATTTTAGGCTAAATTTAGACACAAACTGAGGACAATATTTCCAGACATACAGGGTTTATTTCATTGTGTGAAAATGTAGCACGTTTAAAAAAAAAAACGCAATAACACCGAAAACCGTGGTAATTTCGGTCACAATAACCGTGAGGTTAAATTTTCACACCGTGACAACCTTAATACAGACCATTTTAGAATAGGTTACGTTTCCTTTATTCCCAGATTATGTAGTTTGTAGCACTCCTTATAATGTTGTAGAAAATTTCTGGCCAATCCACGTGATCGGTATCGGTGATCGGCAGCAGAAAACCTGATCGGTGCATCCCTACCACTCATTTTCTCTTGTCCTAAAGTGTTCTTATTATCGATTATCATTTAAGTTCGGAGCGAAGGTGGGTCAGGATTCAAACATGATTTTGGTTTTCTCTGGCTTTAGAACCCCCGTCCTCCCCGGTACCCGAGTATGTGTTCAAGCCTCCGTCACGACCGGACTTTGGCACCATGGGTCGAACAATAAAGCTTCAGGCTAACTTCTTTGAGATGGAAATCCCTAAATTGGAGGTTTATCACTATGACATCGACATCAAGCCTGAGAAATGCCCCCGGAGGGTAAATCGGTAAGTCTCCCTCGCGTGTTTGATCAGCAGATGAGTGTGTGCTGATCCATCTCCTGTTCTCAGTGAAATCGTGGAGCACATGGTCCAGCACTTTAAGGCTCAGATCTTTGGTGATCGGAAGCCCGTGTACGATGGGAGGAAGAACCTCTACACTGCCATGCCTTTGCCAATAGGCAGAGACAAAGTAGGTAAAAGTAAAGCGCGTTCAAACAGAATCAACTACTTTAGCTTATTGCTCGTTTCTTTTCTCGCCCGTCTTTCCACAGGTGGAGCTCGAGGTGACGATTCCAGGTGAAGGCAAAGACCGCAGCTTCAAAGTGTCCATCAAGTGGGTGTCGTGTGTCAGTTTGCAGGCTCTGCACGAGGCACTGTCCGGGCGGCTTCCCAGCGTTCCCTTTGAAACCATTCAAGCCTTGGATGTGGTCATGAGACATTTGCCCTCCATGAGGTTCGGATGCATGTTTTGGTATTTAATCACCAGAATTGAGTCAAAGCTTTTGTCTTTTTAGTCAACTCTTCATACTTTGTTTACATTAGTTTTCCGGCAGCATTCATCATGTAAACCTAAAAACGTGAACCCAGAAAAGTCTTGTTGCATTTTTAAAAAAATACATAATTAGATGATGGAGGAGACCCAAGTCTGACCAGGAACTTTGCTGTTGCAGGTACACCCCCGTGGGGCGCTCTTTCTTTACCCCCTCAGAGGGATGCTCAAACCCTCTGGGTGGTGGCAGAGAGGTGTGGTTTGGTTTCCACCAGTCCGTCAGACCTTCTCTCTGGAAAATGATGCTCAACATTGATGGTAACTTTCATCCTGCTTCAGCTAAAGTTGCGTCAAACCAAGCTGCTTCCACAAACGGGACCCTCGTTTTTGTTTTGTTTGTAGTTTCAGCCACTGCTTTCTACAAAGCTCAGCCTGTGATTGAGTTCATGTGTGAGGTGTTGGATTTCAAAAGCATCGAAGAACAACAGAAGCCTTTAACAGACTCTCAGCGTGTGAAGTTTACTAAAGAAATCAAAGGTCGGTAAAATTCAGGACAAAGCTTTTACCTCAACGTGCTTTAGTGATTTGGAGGCAAATGTATAAAAATGTCAACTTATTTAATTTGAATTTACTAACGATTAAGCCGCTTACAGATTAGCGTCAGTACGGTTGGGGGAGGATGGTGTCGGTTGGGTCTCATACGGGCAGTGTAGTGTTCACATGCAGCTCAGGAATGGGGAAGTCCCCGAGCACGTGGGCAGCATGGGAGGTGCACCGGAAACTCTGTGGTGTTCTCCTTATTAAGATGAGCAAAGGTGGACTCGAGCTGTGTCGCTTTTGGAAACTCTGAACCACAATTTGCTCCTTGTTCTCCCACTTTGTGCGTGTCCTCAGGCTCTGCTCACACACACACACACACACACACACACTGCTCTCTCCTCACATTGAGCAGCTGTGGCGAGAGCTCCATGCAGAGATGTTCGCTGCTCAGAGGACACACACACACACACAGCTCTCTTTTCCTTAGTCCCACTGAGCAGGAGCTTCGTGCTGCAGACAGAGATGTTTACTCAACAGTATCCAGGATGAAAATGAATCAGCTGATCCTACTCGCCGATCGGAGGTGGTAGGTGGGATTTTCAGCCAGTTAATCAGTCCGTAGTGTCGCCTCAATCCCAGTCAGACCTCCGAGGAAGAGGTCTAGAAATCAGCAGTCACCTCAGAACTAACACGTATCTGACCCAGGTGTGAAACCAAATTCTGGTCTGGTACCTGACCGTAGTGACCCTAATGTGTAAGCGCCAATACCTTAACCACTTTTACATTTAATTTTCAGACAATTTGAGGTTTGATTTGGGATGATTTTGCTCAAATGTTTTTGTCGTTCAGTTCCATTATCTTACGTGTGTGTGTGTGTGTGTGTGTGTGTGTGTGTGTGTGTGTGCGTGTGTGTGTGTGTGTGTGTGTGTGTGTGTGTGTGTGTGTGTGTGTGTGTGTGTGTGTGTGTGTGTGTGTGTGTGTGTGTGTGTGTGTGTGTGTGTGTGTGTGTGTGTGTGTGTGTGTGTGTGTGTGTGTGTGTGTGTGTGTGTGTGTGTGTGTGTGTGTGATCCATCCATCTAAGTATTTTAAGCTGCTTGTTTGTGATTTTCCCATCTAGGCCTGAAGGTTGAGATTACTCACTGTGGACAAATGAAAAGAAAGTACAGAGTCTGCAACGTGACCCGAAGACCTGCCAGCCATCAAACGTAAGGACCGCCTCATTAAAGCTGCGATAATTAATAATTCTCCAGTGAAAAAAATTACAAAACAGTCCAATGTCTCCTTCTCAGCCAGCTGGGTGGTTGTTTGTTCTTCTCCTTTAAAAAAAAATAAAAATAACTAGAGGGACGTAGCCTTTGTTTACAATCTGTCCCACCTCCATACTTCCTGGTTCTGCAGGTTGCCACGTCTGTGCTGGCATTTATAATTCAACACCAGCCGGTGAAAAGCAGCAGCATAACTAAATGTTAGCCAGTAAACAGAAGCTACCCAGAAGTCATTTTTTTGTATCTTTAAGAAGCCACAGCACCCTTTTGTTTGGCTCTAATATTGTGTAAAGAAGGCTATATGCTAATGAGCTAACAATGCTAATGGTGAATTAGAAGCAAATTGGCTCAAACCATCTTAAGCAAATTTTTCAGTTGTCAAAAACTTCAATGTTATCCTTATCAAGTAACTGTGTGACTCGTAGGGCTCGATGATGAGGCCTAAAATCAATATCACCATATATTGAGTTGTCCACTAGATGGGGCTGTCACGTGTATTACATTGAGTCACTTCATCACGTGGCTCAAGGTGGCACATAGCCTAGTGAACTAGACCAAATTCTTGCTTTGCAAAGAATGGTCTAGGCATGCTCCATTGGAACCCCAGCAGCTCCTACCAGGACTCTGGCTAGCCAATCACAGCTCTCTAGAGGGGTTTCAAACACATAAAGAGCTGTGATTGGTCCATAATGGTGGGCCAATCATTGTGCTCTATCTGCTTAGTGAACAAATCACAGAGCTTTATCCGCTTTGTGGGCCAATCAGGGCACTCTATATGCCTGGTGGGTGGGATGATGCAACAGAGTGAAACAAGAGTATGTCACATTCATTGTCCAGTGCAATGTGGAGATCATTTGAAAGACAACGGTAGAACCCGCCCCACAACCGAGAGCCGTCAATGGAGCATGGCCACTAAATAATACATTTATTTAGTCTGGCTTGCCAGGCTAGGTGGCACAGCTTAGAGACATGAATGTTGCCAACCGCCACATATTTTCAGTTTTTTTTATTATCAAATAGGGCTGCACGATATTAGGAAAACCTGCGATATTCAATAACAGTGCTTAATATTGCGATATCGATATTACTCACGATAAATGAACAAATACTAAAGTATGCAGTGTTGATGTCGTCTGGCGTGTGACGTCTGCTCTGGGTTCAAAGCAAACAAAAACTAATGCATGAATTCCATGACAACATACCATTTTTATTGCAGAAACATGCAGCTGCACCTGCTACTGTATTAGCAGCTGCACCTGCTACTGTATTAGCAGCTGCACCTGCTACTGTATTAGCAGCTGCACCTGCTACTGTATTAGCAGCTGCACCTGCTACTGTATTAGCAGCTGCACCTGCTACTGTATTAGCAGCTGCACCTGCTACTGTATTAGCAGCTGCACCTGCTACTGTATTAGCAGCTGCACCTGCTACTGTATTAGCAGCTGCACCTGCTACTGTATTAGCAGCAAAACAACAAACTGCATGCATGCAGTTTCTCAGTGACTTTAAAACATCACCACCACCATAAAACTTTTTCTGATGCTCCAAATACAGAAAAACATCCCTTACCAGGGTTTTTGAATAAATAAAATCAGAAAATTAGTTTAAATGTTAAAAGTTAACATCACTTAAATGCAACAGCAAATTCTCTCATTGCTACTGAACATTTTCTCCACTTATGTGGTTATGATTAGGGCTGCAGCTATTTAATCTTTTATCGATTAATCGAGTACTCTAATAAATTACCCTTTTGCATTTTTAAACCATTATATCAAATAGCATGTTATAAAATATGAAAGACTTCTTGAAATGAGAAAGCAATTGCCAGTTATTCTTCAAGTTAATATTCAAAATTAGTTTTCAAAACTTCAGCACTTCAACTTTACTTCACAGTAAACAAATGCGAGCGGCTGCGGCCCAAACGGCACCAGAACCGCTCACGGCGCAAACATGGCTCGCCGGCTATTTCCCTATTAACACACGTCCGTTTTAATTTCTACACTTTTTTTTGTCTCACACTAACAAGGATTGTCGAAAGCATGTTTGTCATGGTTATGTCAAATTATACTGATCACAAAACATTTATTTACTTTCTTTCGTTTTCCTCCGCCACTCATAAATACCTGCGTCCTCCTGCAGCAATCCTGAGGGACAACCATCGACATAATATACGGGGACAACGGACGTCAATGACAACACAGTAAAAAGTCTGACGTGTTGTAAAAACTGCTATTTTTAGCACATTTTAAGTCCGTGTTGCTACCAGACGTACGGTGTGAGCTGCAACTGAGTGCTACAAATGAAAAAGTCGCACAGAGTCCGCAGAATATATAGAAATACAGGCTAAAATGCATTATCTTGTAGAGGCTCCGAGTCCGCTTGCAGAAGTGACATTTACATGTGGATGTTTCCTGGTCAGGTGCTGCAGCATGGAGGATGTGGTGTTGTTGTAGGCTAGATCCATTTTACAGTTTTTACACTGGACTACGTTTTCCGCCTTACGACGTGAAAAATGGTCCCACACCTTTTGAAGTTTTGTGTCTTTTTCGCACTCCACCGGGGTCCATGTTGTCTGCCATGGCTTAAGAGAAAGTTAAATTATATTCGCTACTCGCGTGTGCCTTCTGTGCAGTGTGTATGTGCGTCACTTATTTCGGTCCGGGTGAAACACGACCCCGGGCGATTGCAAAGCCATGAATTAATTAAACATGAATTAAACAAAGCTTCGAGGCAGAGAATTTGACTCGAGGATTTTTTGTACTCGAATTATTCGAGGTACTCGAGGAATCGTTTCAGCCCTAGTTATGATATAAGGCTGTTGCTGCTAGTGGGAAGTGAACTGTGCTGGGCCAAACTAGGAGAATATTAAGATTTTCTGAGGGAAAGAGAAAAACAATCGTCTACCTTTCAGAAGAGGAACTGGCAAAAAAACTACATGGAAAATATGTGAAAACGTTTGTTTTTAACCCCAAATTGAACAAGTTTACTTAGATCTTAAAAAGCAGCTCAGATGATGAAACTGCAACTATGATTCTGATAACAAGCTAACAAATTGAGCTAGCTCCTGTTATGATAACCGGCTAGCAGAGCTTCTGACTGACAGTTTATGTGCAGCAGCAAATCAACTATCCTGATTAACAAGGTTATAAACGCTCATGAATGAAAAATCACTTTGATGTGTGGGGGAACTTTTCCAGGCCCTCTTTAGCAGGGTGGGACTGGGAGGAGAGTGCTGTAGCCTTTTAGCTGGAAGCTAACCGGAGCCTGGGGCTAATGGTGGGTTGGTTCATCGGCACGTGTCGGAGTCAGCCCGGTTATTATCAGCTGCTTAACGACACCGAGCGGACTCGCGTTTGAAAGCAGCGCTGATTCCAGAAACCTCAGCACAAAGTGCGTTCGTTAATCTGAGCCAGCATGACGAACAAGGGAAGCGAGCAGCAGCGGAAAGCGGGGACAGAGCGGAGCGGAGATAGTGGAATTTTGGGGTAAGGGTCTACGTAGGGGGCGGGCGTATTACGTGAACGGACCCATCTGTTTGGCCGCATATCAGAAGGACTACATTTGATTGGTCAAATAGTACTTCTGTGTAAAAAAACAGCTGGTTTACAAAAAGGTGATGTATGACACGGATGGAAATGTTTGAACCAAACATTTATCGCCGTTTTTGACGTGCTGTGCGATGGGCCTATCGCACGTCCTGTTATCGCGATGACGATAATTTTTCGATATATTGTGCAGCCCTAATATCAAATTTATTGACGTGAAAAAATGTCAGCGTCAGAAGTTTTGATAACGATAAGTTCTCCATTTATCGCCCAGCCCTAGTGACTCATCTTCACTCGTCATCTTGAGTCTTCTGGTGCTGATCCGTAACTGGCACCAGCTGCTCAGAGCGCACCGGTTCGTTCTGATACCTGGACTGCAGTACCCAGATTTGACCACAGGATGGCACTTTTACTTGGTGCACCATTAGATGCAGCATTTTTATGATGTGGATGTAAAAGTTGGTGAAATTGTGACAGAAAGTTGACTCAGACTGAAACACCCCTACCCCTGACACGCTTATTATTCTAAAACATGATTGTTACTATGTTCTAGGTTCCCCTTACAGCAGGAGAATGGCCAAACTATTGAATGCACAGTAGCACAGTACTTTAAAGACAAGTACAAGCTCCACCTGCGATACCCCCATCTCCCGTGTTTACAGGTGGGACAGGAGCAGAAGCACACCTACCTCCCTCTCGAGGTAAAACTCCTTTTATACTTCAGTATTGAAGAGAAATTGACCTCTGCTCTTGACTGACTGATTTCCTGTGAAACACATTTTTTTTGGTCTTCTTCCTTGTCCATTCAGGTGTGTAACATAGTGGCGGGACAGCGCTGCATCAAGAAGCTGACTGACAATCAGACCTCCACGATGATCCGAGCCACGGCCCGATCAGCGCCGGACCGTCAGGAAGAGATCAGTAAGCTGGTACGTTGGTGAGAGAGAAGCGCATGCACCGGTGTTGTGTGATGCATCGTTCTAAATGTCTAACAGTCTGAGCAAACTCAAATAACCTGAGTGAATTGAGATGTCAAGGCAGCAAAGCTGTTAAATAGAAATCTGTCACCAGATGAGGAGCGCCAACTTCAACACGGACCCGTACGTCCGTGAGTTCGGGGTGATGGTGAGGGATGAGATGACGGAGGTAAATGGCCGCGTCCTGCAAGCACCTTCGATCCTCTACGGAGGCAGGGTAGGTTGGTGGATGCCCTCGCGTGTTCCACGTTGCAGCTCTCACACAGTGACGAGCATTAATGGGGTGCTGGTGTTGCAGAACAAAGCGATAGCCACGCCCATCCAGGGCGTGTGGGACATGAGGAACAAGCAGTTCCACACCGGCATTGAGATCAAAGTCTGGGCCATCGCCTGCTTCGCTCCACAGAGACAGTGCACCGAGCTGCTGCTGAAGTAAGTAGGGTCCACACAGCAGGTTCCGACCTCGGGAACATCGTGTTCCTGAAAGCAACACAGAAGAACCGTGATTGGAGCCAGTTCTTTTGTTTTCAGAGCGTTCACTGACCAGCTGAGGAAGATCTCCCGTGATGCTGGGATGCCCATTCAGGGTCAGCCATGCTTCTGTAAGTACGCCCAAGGAGCCGACAGCGTGGAGCCAATGTTCAGGCACCTGAAGTACACCTACCAGGGCCTGCAGCTGGTGGTGGTCATCCTTCCTGGGAAGACACCAGTCTACGGTGAGGGGTCTACTCAGTTCTGCTGATTCTCACAAAGATGCCTGAATGACTTTTTTTACAGGAAACCTAACCATCAGTAAATAACTAGCTAACCTGTGTTGTTGTAAAAGGTTAAAACTTTTTATTATCTGGAATCTGGACCAGATTAGTGGTGTCACGTCTCCCTGTTTCTGTGTTCTCCAGCTGAGGTGAAGCGCGTTGGCGACACGGTGCTTGGAATGGCCACACAATGTGTCCAGGTGAAGAACGTACAGAAGACAACACCCCAGACTCTCTCCAACCTCTGTCTGAAGATTAACGTCAAGCTGGGTGGTGTCAACAACATCCTGCTCCCCCAGGGCAGGTGGGTGAAACACACCAGTAGCTGGAAGGATTCTCCGGCGAGTTTTGTCTACAACGGCTGCTTTGTGCTTCCACGTCAAGGCCGTTGGTGTTCCAGCAGCCGGTCATCTTCCTCGGCTCAGATGTGACTCATCCACCTGCAGGAGATGGAAAGAAGCCTTCCATCGCTGCTGTAAGTAACTGTGCCGTCACAAAAATCAAAGGTTTAAAAAGTCCTGCTCTAAAACTAAAAGGTTGGTTAAGGATCTGTTTCATGGAGCTGGTATTTGTAGTGCATCTTCATCACTTGAACTGGTGCAATGTTCTTCCTGCTCGGTTGGGTTGAACCATGATCCAAACTGTGATTTCAGACGCCATCATCATTTTTGCTGTTGACTGACCCAGGATCTGTTGTGTTAACTGTTTTTCACATAAAATGTCATAAAGTTAAAGTCCCATGGTCTTCATCACACACGGGTGAAAGTCATCTCTGCATTTGACCCATCCCCGTGGAGGGCAGCAGGGTTTTTGTGGGTGGGGTGGCGGTGGGGGCTCTTCCATGAGGGGGGGTGCACACGTTCCGTTGCTGTTTCTCACCAGTGTCAGCTGATGGAGGGCTCTAGTTTCGTTGCTCCGTTCGTGTCAGCGGACACGGTCGGGTCGGGGAGTGGAGGGAGGCGGGGCATGACGCTTAGCCCGGCGGGTCGCCAGGCTTATAAAGCGCCGGGGGAAACCCTGCATTTGACAGCAGTTCTTACCTTCAGTTTTCTCCCTTGCATCGTTAGAGCAACCGCTTCTAGTGTTTGATGATATGAGGTCATTTCCTGTACTGTTTAAATGTTCCTGTACATGGTGAATATTGTTCTGAAGCTTGATGAGGAGAAAATCATGAATCCGTCTCAGCCCTTCTGATCAGACATCCCTCTTGTGTCTACGAGTTTCCAGACCAAATGATCACTAAGCATCTACTACCGGTGTCACATGTCCTGTTCCCTGTCAGGTGGTTGGTAGTATGGATGCCCATCCCAGTCGATACTGTGCCACCGTGCGGGTGCAGCAGCACCGTCAGGATATCATCCAGGACCTGGCCAACATGGTGCGGGAGCTGCTTATCCAGTTTTACAAGTCCACCCGCTTCAAGCCCACCAGAATCATCTACTATCGAGACGGCATCTCTGAGGGCCAGTTTAGCCAGGTACTAGAACCACATACCGGTTAATGCCCTCTGGACTGGTGGTGTACCTCTCTTCCAGCGGTTTGTGTTTAAGATCTTTGAACTTTGCAGGTTCTTCAGCATGAGCTGCTGGCAATCCGCGAGGCCTGCATCAAATTAGAGAAGGATTACCAGCCTGGGATTACCTTTGTGGTGGTGCAGAAGAGACACCACACACGACTCTTCTGTGTGGACAGGAACGAGCGGGTTCGTATGACTGCTGGCATTCAGAGGAGTTCATCAGTTTATGATGAAACGGTCACAAACTTGGTTTCATATGTTTGTTTACAAAACCCCGTCAGCACATTGTCTGTATTCATCAAAGCAGTGATAAGCTGTCATGTTGATGCTTTTCTAATGCTTCCATGCCCCTGAGTTGTTGCTTTTAAGAGAGGTCCTTTATGGACAGATATTTGTGAAAAAGATCGGTCACTGAATTCTTCATGCGGGCTGAACATGGAAAATAGTCTCCTACACCTGTCTGTGACGGTGTGCCAAAAACTGTTTAGATGCCACGGGAGCGCTGCTCACTCTTGTTTTGAGCCTAAAGTTAATGAAATCACACACCACATCACCACTGAATGCCACCATCTGTCTCCTCTCGACATTTACAAATATCACCCATGGCTCATTGTTTGTTTGTAAGAGTTGAGTTTAAAGTGTTTGGTGTTTTAAATACAGACAGCATTTAACCCGTTAAAACATAATGTTAGAAACATTTTTTTCTGATAAGAAATGGCCACCAGCACCTGCGTACAGGAAGATTTAAAGTGACACTGAGCAGTTTCCTGCTCCTCCGTTCTAGTGGCTGAAAGTGGAATTACAACAATCGTAAACAGCCCTTCTGTAGCTAGCGCTAACAACAGCCTAACACAAACTTGAGCAAGCTAACACTAAAATAATCTACAAAGTAAAAAGATCCACACTGGTGGACAAAAAATACTACAAGTTCAGAAGCAACAAAGCCGCGTCGTCATCAGTCCGTGATTTGGTAGCCTCCTTTAGCTCCCTCATGCTAGTGCAGGCCACAACGATGTTTGCTCTGGTTTTAGCGCTTTGCTTCACCTCCAGAGACACAATACCATTTAAAAAGCAAACTTCTTTTATTTCTTCTAGTGCTTTTTTTTATTGACTATTGGCAAACGGAAAAAGCTAACTGCTAGCATAAGAGCCATCAGCGGTATAGCAGGCAAACAGCTCCCCCTGTAGCGCACCTACCTGCTCCACAAAACTATGAGTGTGATTTTTGGTCGGTAGAGGGCTGCTAAGTGGTGTCGGACATGAAACTGATCAAGTTTCATTAATCACTGAGATCAATGTTAAAGAGCTAGCTTAAAATAAAAAACTATTCAGTGTTACGTTAAGGACGATGGATTACAAACACAAGATGAGACCATTTCTTAATATCGTAACATTTCTGCAGCTCTAAAGCAGAGTTGAGTCCAAGTTGACGCGCCCATATTGACTCGCAACAGGGAAAGCTGTTGGTTTAATGTGCAATAAGCAGAGAACGTCTCGAGTAGTAGAAGCTAACTGTTAGCATTAGAAACTACACCACACAGCAGAACTCCTCCAGGCTTGTTATTTGTGGAGATGAAACGTCAGCGTTGCAGAGCAAACAATTGTACGTCGCTCTGGATAAAAGCCTCTGCCAAATAAACTGAGTCGGTGGTAGTCGTGTTGCTGTTAGCCAGGCCGAGGCGAGATGTCCAAATATCAGGAAATAAGACTCCAAATCCTGCTTTCTGAACCTATTTTCTCATCTGGATGAGTTCTCCATGCTGAAACGGGCGCACCGGAGCTCCCCCCCCCCCCCCCCCCATAATAGGACTTAAAGCCATTCATTCCTAATAGAGACCACTGCAAATGTAACACAAATATAAGTAAAGGTTCTCTTCTTTATGGATGCTTTTTAGCAATTCTAGTTGTTTTTTTAGCCTGTATGGCCTCTGAAGGAATAGTTTGCATTCGGCAAGACTGATGAGCTAACGGTTAGTCTGAGTGACCAAAGTGTGTTGCCACCATGTACCCAGTCTTGAGCATTTCATATCAGTTCATACAAATGTTATATTATTAACTTTCATGCTGGTGTCTGTTTTTACTCTCGTCAGGGCCATTCAATTCCGTGCCTCGAGGGCCAGTATTCGGCACGTTTTAGTGGTTTCCCTAGTCCAACACAGTGGTTGAGTCAGCTCATCAGGCTCTGCAGAAGCCTGTTAATCACCTGCTGATTGAAATCAGGTGTGTTGAAGCAGGGTTGAAACTAAAACGTGCTGGATAGCTGCCCTCCAGGCCCGGAATCACATGGCCCTGCTCTACATGATTATTTATGAGTATAAAATATCACTTAACTGTAAAATGTAGCGCTAGCCTAGCATAGCATTTCCTGGACTCTAGTCTGGGAAGAACGTTTTAAAGGTTTTGCTGAAATAATCATGAAACACAAAGTAAACGTAAACGTTTTTGAATGCTGTGAAACTTACGAGACTGGAGCTGACTTTAGCATGTTTAGGCTACCTTCCATTAGCACATTAATCCTGAAGGATTTGTCGAATGGAGGCCGTTCAGGAAGCCGTCTAGAGCATGATAGCAGTCCAGTTACAGCCGGACAAAACATTTTAACATTGTCTTTGCAGGTTGGAAAGAGTGGCAACATTCCGGCAGGCACCACAGTGGACACCAAAATCACCCACCCCTCAGAGTTTGACTTCTACCTTTGCAGTCATGCTGGCATTCAGGTGAGAGCGGAACATGGTTGCCTGTTTTTTGGTGGTTTTAGGTGAACTCTTTCATTTGTGTGTGTGTGTGTGTGTGTGATTCCTGCAGGGAACCAGCAGACCGTCTCACTACCATGTGCTCTGGGACGACAACCACTTCTCATCAGACGAGCTGCAGGTTCTCACCTACCAGCTTTGCCATACCTATGTGCGCTGCACCCGGTCCGTTTCCATCCCAGCGCCAGCCTACTACGCCCATTTAGTGGCTTTCCGGGCCCGCTACCACTTGGTGGACAAAGAGCACGACAGGTTGGGGCCTAGATGTTTGTTTACCTGCAATAAGACTCGTTGGTTTAGTAAACGACCACTATAAACAGTTTTTTAGGGATGTTCCGGTCACGGTTTTTTACCCTCGACCTGAGTTGTGTCTGCTTCTGCAGAGGCCCAATCTGATACTTTAGACATGCATTAATAAGAAAAAAGAACGCACCAGTTTCCTTAGTTTATCTTTCATAACGCATCATTCGTTCAGGAAGTACATTAATGGGAAACGCGTTAATATTAAGGATATATTTAAAAGTAGCCTCGTTGCTCTTCAAATCGTTGGTGGACAGCTGTTTAGAGCAACGAGCATTCCCTCAACAGGGACGACATTACAGCCGGCAGCAGGCGCGCTCTTCACTACAAAACACCTGCAGCGTTGTGTCTGTGTAGTTGGGACGAGGAAGCCGGTTGTACCGCGGCTCAAGGAGACGGAAAAACCCAACGTTTGCGACCACTGGCAGGCATCCAGTGTGATGATTTACGGCTATCTTGGCATTTTTTCTGCCTGTAGAATTTCTTTGCTTTTTCGAAGGCGTCCATCAGTGTCGGCTAGTTGCGAGGTTTTATCCGAGTTGCTGCTGTGAACAGAGCAGGGTTGTTTTAGGAGGCATATCAGATTCGGTGTTGAACGCAGCTCTACCTTTCCCACCGCATTAAACGCCCAGTTTGCACACGGTGTCTTACACTCCTTTTGCTGTCCGGTTCAAAATGCATCCAAAACTTTCTCTCTCCTGAAGCGAAGCTGTGTTAGCCCGCTAGCTAACAGCTACGTGTTATGGCGTCTGAGTTCCCTGGGCTACCTGAAATTGTGGGACGCTGAAGTGTTTTTGTCCAAGAAACAAAGAATTTTGATGTAGATGAACTTGTTAAAATTAAAACTCAAGCATTGTTATTCAATTTGAACATCTCTGGAGGAATTTACGTCGCACTTGTTTCATGAGGTTAAATCCGATCTTTTCCATCGGAATCTGATCCTCAAACACATGATTTGGCCTTATTTCTGATCATGTGATGAGATCGGAGCATCCTTGTTTATTCATTTATTTTATTTTCCAGTGCGGAGGGCAGTCACACATCAGGCCAGAGCAATGGGCGGGACCACCAAGCCCTGGCGAAGGCGGTCCAGATCCACCAGGACACCCTGCGCACCATGTACTTTGCTTGAGCGCCGCCCCCCGGCTGGCGTGGGTGAGACCCGACTGTCACCGTGGTCACACACCCCCGAACACACCCAGCAGCGCACGAGTCTACAATTGTACTGCAGCCCCTAAACCCAGCATAATGAAGCCATTTATTAGACTTAAATGGGTGAATTCAGCTGAGCCAGCTTTGGTTTTACTTTTTGTCTTCTAGTCTCCGTTTTCAGTCGTGTTGGCAAATGTGTTAATTATGAAAATAATTTGTTAAATTTGCACACTGAAAAAAAAACCCTTCACTTTTAAGATGGTGGGCGGTGGGATTTGGAAGAAGCTGTAGTTTTATTTTGCCGCGGTCCTGGTGCTTACGGAGAGGAGACCATTTTCTACCCAATAACTTAGTCCTCGACAAACATCAGCCAATGAACGTGCACTGACCAGGATGGGTACCTCAATAGGGACACAAGTACTTGACCTCATCCTTTTTTTTTTTTTTACTTTACCAGTGGTCATGATGAGCTGATGAGTGTGCCATTTGGGACCATTTTTCTTTTCTATTCAGATGATCGACCCTCTTCTGGGTTTTCAGTGTTGGTCCTCGATGCCAAACCCTGGAGGAGGAGTTTAATCGGACCTGTTCATTCTCTGAACAGCATGTAGTTTATTGGATGACGACTTTTAATGTGTCGAGACTGAAAGAGCAGCAGCGTGGATCCCTCTGTCCCAGTTATTAGTCTGATCCATGAAAAGGTGGCGTCACTGGGACTGGAACCCAACGGCGACACCGTTGTTGTTCATGTATTCTGAGCCACGTCGATAAAGAGTTAGGAACCAGTAAAGACGTGATGAAATCTTTTAGTTTTTTTTAAACATAACTCTTGGATGAATATGCATGTAGCTTTAGACGCCTAGTTTTTACGTAACTGTTCCTGAACACACCTCGGCCCCGCTTTATTTTTTATTGTACATATTAGCCGAAGAGCGGGGTGTTTGTGCGGCTTCTCCGCGCCGTCGAGTCGGGCTGCAGCATTTTACGTGAGAACTGATCAGGAGTCAGTCTTTAATGTAGATTCGTGCTTCAGAAGGGAGAGCAGTGGCACAAGAGCTTAGGAGGTTGGTGCAGCTTGATTCAGTCGGTCTTTTTTACAAATCCGTAATGTTGCTAAAACATAAAAAGTCTATTTTGAATAAGCTTTTGACGGAGACTGCTGAGAACGTTTTTAAAACTGGCCCAGATCTGTCTAAATTACCCGTTTGTATACACGTTTTCATGCCTTCTAGTGGAATTAAAACCTCCCGCTTTCGTTTTACTGCTCAGTTAAGCTGGTGAATGTTGGAGTGTTTTTTCTAACTATGCATCGTTTTTACCTGTGGGGCGTCCCGCTTGAATTTGGACTCTAGAGGTAGACAATCAGGGCTGTTTGTCTCTTTTAGCATCATTTCTTAGAGCTTATAAGCATTTTTATGAATTTCTAGGATGAAGTATTTATGTGGTCGTTTGTAGACTTTTCTAGCCTAACGTGGGCGTGTCCTTTCTAACATACAGTCTTTCTCGGCCAAACAAGATTACAAACTTTTAGGTAAACGTTATGGAAACCTAAAGAAGCACAAAAGGACGTGTTGATTCTAGGTGCTAGATGTTTTCACTGTAAATCACCTGAAATCCTCGTGGGACCTGTCCACGTGTTTGTGTTTTGTTTTTTAAAAAAAGATGCTTCGTTGTTTTGAGGCTCTCCCTTTGATGACCTCATTTCCTGTAAAGCAAATCCGACTGACTGTGTTTGTGGGGCATTCTTAAAAAAAAAGAGAAAAAAAAAAAGAGCAAATGGTGTACTTGATATTTACTGTTATGATGTCAATATTGTTGTTATCGGTGCTGGTCTCACAACGTGTAAATTCTGGGATGCACTTTTCCTCGCAGACGATGGGTTTGACTTCTACGCGCGTGTCGGCCGTGGTGCGACACCGGTGTAATTGCATGGAAATGGCCGTGTGTTCTACCTCCTGTTACCTGTTTTAAGTGTTATGGTAACATCACACTGCGGGCCATTTCTGTATAATTGCCCCCGCCTCCTTATCTAATCGACATCGCTGGAGTCTCGCAGCAGAAGTTTTGAATGCTTGGCATGGACGATGCGTTTTTATCTGTTTCTGTAGTTGCATTTTATTAGTTTCGTAGTTTAACGTCACCGAAGAGCTGTTTTTCCTTTTTTTTTTTATTTAGATTTGTGTGTTTTTAAGCTGTACGACCAAATTCTTCTACTGTGTTTGTACCGACCGCACAGCTTTCCCTGCGTCTTGTCCTCTATGCACCACTCGTATCGACACTTTTATTGGTTTGCCAGTGGAGCTGTCCAACAGCAGGTGCAAAGTTCTCTCAGTGGTGCTGTCTGTCACACACCAGACATCATATCTGATCATCTTTAAAAGAGACCTTTTGTTTGTTTGGATGGTTTCCCATGCAGAGGCGTGTTGCATGGATAGGTTAGGAACGGATTGATGTGCTAACGGCTAGTCACACGGAGCCAAAAGGACTCAAATCAGACCCAACTGTGTGATGTTTCTGACAGAATAAACATGCAAGTGTGAAACTGGTGGGTTTTTTTAAAGGTTTGTTGTGAAATGTTGAGGTCCAGGTGAGGTAGAAGTGAGCCGTTCCCTCCACAGCTGCTGGGATATTAACCGTTCCTAACCTTTCCACTAAAAACCTGAACTATCCCTTTAAACTGGAAGCTGGAGCTCACACACAAACATTTAGCTTGAGCTGGTTTTTGGATTTGTTGTTGCCGCTCATTACCCACACCCGCACCTTATCACCACGTCAGAACGGCATTGCTTTTTCCTGGACATGAAACTCCGATTATCCTTCTGAACAAGTTACTTTGCACTAAATAAACAAGAATAAAACTTTGTAGAATATATATTTATCAAGTGGACAAAACTTGCGTCACTTCTTTAACTTTTTTTTTTCCTCCCTCCTTTGGTGACCGAGGCTCTTTACAGATGGTGTGTGTGTGTGTCATTCATATAGAAAAACACTTGGCAGGTGTGTGCAGTTGCTGGATAGTACAGGTGTGGGGATCCTTTCTGCTGAATGCCAAAACCTTTAACTCTGACCCGGGATCAGACCAGACGCCACCCGAAACTCCTCACAGGCCTGTTTCTTTGCGCTGAAGCGAGAATGTAAAGCAGCAGAAGTCTTCTCGTGGACGATCGTGGTGCTCTTATAGGTGAAAGGTTGCACGCGGTGCTGTTGAAATGCATTCGGACAACTTCTGGGTAAACCTGGAGGTTTAGTCCAAGTGTGTGTGAAAACACACACCAGAACCAGAGTTATAACCTAAAAATATCGTAAATATTTTATGAAATAAAATCTTGTGTTTGGTTAAAATTCTTAAATGAACCTGCTAGAATTATAAATTTGAACAAAGATCTGAATCCAAATTTGACCTTCGGCTGCTCTTTGACTGACCCTAACCTAACCTGCTAGTTTACACACGAGTCGCTGATGAATGTAGCGAGCGTGTGGGTTGGAGCAACATAAAGGCCAGTTGATCATAGATATTTGTTTTTATTTACATTGTTTACCACTTATTTGATGTAGACGGTGCAGCCAACATGGTGGATCTTCTCCCTGACTGGTGCAGGATACTTCCTGCTCTGGTGTGATGCTTGTGTAATGCAAGAGTTGTGCGTGTTCATCTGTAAAGGGTTTGCAGCGCGCGTCTGCGTGTGTGTGTGTGTGTGTGTGTGTGTGTGTGTGTGTGTGTGTGTGATCTGTTGGATTTTATTTCTGCCTGCTTGTGCTTCTGAACTGCCTCCGTCACAGGCGTGTAGCATTTGAGCGATGTTAACTGGTCGTTACACGGATACGACTTTTACTGTTTTTATTTTTATTTTTTCCCCTTTTCAGATTTCTGCTGAGTCGTAGCGTCGTCCTCGTGAGCTTGTGTTGGCATCACGAGTGTCGATCAGAATGTTCGGATTAAGCCAGGATCGGAGCTCGTACGCCTCGCCTCCACTAGGGGGAGCTGTTCAGTTATTTCTGTGTGCTCGACAATAAACACTTGCTTATCGTTTCTGTGTAAATTTATAATATTTAGAACATTGGTTCAGAAATCAGACGGGCAACCTTAAAACTGCTCCAGTCTAGAGAAGCTGTCAACGTTACAGCTACAGTTACCACCACCGCCGCCAGTCCTGGTGCTCCTCGCTGAAACTGACAGCTGTTTAGATCTTTAGCTGGAATGGGAGTGTGCTTGGATCCGAGTGTTAAGGTGGCACCAGCCTGCTTTAGACGTGGTCGTTCAAATGAACCCAACCCCAAACATCGGTGCTTTCTTGAAATCTCGCGTTAAGTCGTACAAATAAAATTTCTAAACCTTTCATCTGCTGTCAGACCTTCAGTAAACTCAGCTGTATTGGAGCCCCTTATGCACCATGCTGGTGCTGATGTTTTTGTTTGTATACAACCAGAAAACCAGTTAAAAACCATTAGAACTGGTTGCATGATCTTTGGTGCTGGAGCGGTTTGAAGGTGGAAGCTCCACTCCTGCCTGGTTGTGAGCAGCTGTTGGATACACTCCTACAGCAGCTATGGTGGTTTCACACAGAAACACCTACAACTGCACTTCCTCTTTGGGAGGTGAAGTACCTTAAAGCCATCATCAGGTCTCACCATCGTGTTTTAGACATTCACGGTCCCATTGGTTTCCCTGTTAGGCCTCTGGTGACTTCAAACCTGCACACGTTTGGGGTAAATCTTTATCAGACCAGTGCCCTCTACTCCTCTAATGCTGGACCCGAGTGGGCGTTTCTGGCCCTTTAAAGACTTTTCTTTACTAAATCTGAGAACTACCTCGGAGCAGCGTCTGGTGCTAGTCGATAGGATCCCACGTGGATGAGAAATCTAGAGACCAAACCAGTTCCAGCCAATCGTTGTGTTTTACAGTTTTTTTTTTTTTAGAGTGGACCAAATCTAAAACCACGTGAAATCACTCAGACCCAACCCTTAAGATCTGACCTGTCTTACTCCTTTCTTTGGTTTGTGAGGTCTGAAGTGGCAGCAAGGCTTTGGATGATCGGTACCAGTGTGTGGTTTTCATTTCTACAGTTTCAGCCCAGAACTGCAATAAACTCTATCGTTTCGCTCAGCATTTTAAGGGAAATGGCGGCGTGTGAAAGCATTCGACTAGAGGTACAAATGAGCCCTTCTCTCCACATCTCAAACGTCCTGCATGTCCACAGGTTTTGTCTGTGTGCCTTCGGTCCAGTTTGGTTTTCTTTTTCCACCATTAAAGGTTTGACAGGATCTGCTGCGTGAAGAGTCACCTCTGTGTTTATGAAACGTACAGATGCTGCATGAACGATCAGTATTCGTGTTTGCACTTTCAGAGAGACCACGGTGAGACGGCCCGGCCGAGGCGTCGGGCTCGGGGTAGAAAAGGAAAAAACTGACGAGGTATTTTATGCTATCTATAGGAACACTTTGAGAAGCTTTTTCTAAAAAGGTTGTTTTATCTCTATCTATATATCTAAATATAATTCATGAAGTACCTCATAAGCCTGATATATGCTGCATTGATTTTTTTTATTTTTCCTCTTTAGTGTACTTCATATTGTCCGTAACATTTGGGGTCTTATCCCAGCTTTTGGGGAGGTTTGAACAGCACGACGGGCTGCACGCGCCTCCACCAGCTCATCCAACAGTTTCACATTTTAGTGGCCAAATAAAACATCTCATCAATGCAACTAAACCTCCAAATATTCCTCAACTCAGCACGTGTCGTTTGTGTTGGCCTAAAGATGATGGAGGGGAGTTGAACCAAGCGTTAAAATCTCAGGTATGGCTGTGAAAGGGCTTTATCTGCCCCCCCCAAACTCTCATGCCCTTGTCTTAAATTATCTTTAGAGCCACTCGTGAGGTTTCCATTTGGCCTTAAAAGTTGAGGAAATTATGCACTACATTTCCACACAGCTTGACTCCCGAACACCGGTGTTTCTGTTATCTACCTCCCGTGAATGTAGTCTTTCCTGGAGCTTCAGCCGACTGCAAAGCGTTTCTTCCACCATTTAAGGGAGAAACGATATTTTCTAACCAATAATCGAAACGCTCTCATTTTCATCTAGTTCCTTTTTTTGTTACGACGAAATGAGCAAAGCGACCAAAGTCCTTTGGTGCAGGCAGCCCAGAAAAAGCCGTGTGGATTCAAACCTCCCTTTATTTTCTTTTTTGTCCCTTTTTATTTAAAACCACAACATGCCAAAACTGAGTTTGCTGTTCTTGTGAGGGTCTTCTTGTTGCTGAAATCATTTGTTAACCCCATGCTAAGCTCCTTTGATTTCGAAGTCATTTTCCTGTTCATTTTGAGGTAAACATTATGCTTACAGAACACAAACATGCTGTAAACCCTGTTAGGACAAAAATGTGAAAATGTATCACTCAATATAGTTCACTCTTTGGCTTGACTGTAAGTTGCGTTAATAAAATTGTTAAAAACAGTCTTGTGTCGGGATTTATTTGGTCCGATTGGATTTTGTTTGTACTTTTTGGCCTAAACCTATTATCCTGTTTGCAGCACGTGCAGAAAAAGTGTCTGTGAAAGGCAGCAACGCTTCAATCTAATGGCACATCTATGTGACCGTCACCCACAACTCTACAGTCAACGCAAGGCAAGCTAACATTAGCGTTTTAGCTAAAATGTGTGATCCGAGGATTTGGGTTGCGGGAGAATACAACGAGTCGCTATATGAAGCAGCCGCAGCGCCGCTACCTGCATATAAACCGTGTCGCGGACACCGCCATGTTGAAATGACGCTATGCATTACGGGGCTCCCAGGGGCAGATAAGAGTTGGTCTCTCTCTCCTTATGTTTATTCATTTAGCAGATGCTTTTATTATTAAAATTATTTAAATTATGAATTTAACAATGATTACTGCCTGACATTTTCCCACATCTGCAAAGCTCACTGGAAGGACACAGAGGACGATATTTTCCTGATATGTAGGGCTTATTTAGTTGTCTGAAAATGTAACGCGTTTAAAAAAAATACCGCGATAATACCGAAAACCGTGATAATTTTGGTCAGAATAACCGTGAGGTTAAATTTTCGCACCGTGACAACCCTAGTTACACGAGTACTAAACAAAGGGAACAGTAGAGCCTGAAATTGTTTTTGCGATCAAAGCTCCTCCAGCATTCCTTCAACTAGTTCATGCCCAGTTCAGTTATCAGAAGAAGTGGCGCATCTAGCCGGGGCTCATAGGGAGCGGTATGTTAACTAGCTTACCAGCCTTAGCTTATGTTCTCTCTGCAGCTGTTCACCGATGTAAACATGTTGCTGACTTTGCCTAAATTCACCCCTCTGGATTTATAAGTTTGTTATAAACAGCGTTTCACTTTACACCAAAGCTGATTGTTAAAAAATTCCGGATCCCTACCAGCTTCTGTTGCTGGTGGTGTTACCGGGTTCAGCTGCTGCTCTCACACCGGAATGAGAAGATCTCTGAACGCCGACACTCATATAAATAAATAACGTCATTTTAACACACATAGTCATACATCGGAGCTTTAATATTAATAATTGTCTCGTTTTACACTTCAGTGGTCGTAGCAAGCCTCCGTGGAGAAATGCCCATCCATCAGCATTATCAATGACTTGTTTAAACACACCCTGTCCCTGTCTTCCTCGTGAAATAAATGAACGTTAATCTTACCCGGTAAAAACATGTTCGCTGCAAATCTGAGGCCTACTAGTCCGCTTGATTGATTGCTGCAGTTCATCTCCGTCCTCGGTCTCCATCAAAGTTGTTAAAAAGAAACGAGTTGAGTTTACATCCTTGTCGCTTAGTGCAGCCGACCACGCAACAAGCTAAAACCATTTTACTGTCAAATCAACTAAATAAAAGCGATAAAAGGCTACAAACTGGCTTGTTTTGATTACCTTCACTGGAGTTTCTACGGGTGTAAACGGTCTTTTTGCCGTCCATCATGGCGAAGGGGGCGGTCACAGGAATGGCATGACGTCATGTGCAAAGTGTCAATAAGCAGCCATCCACCATGACTCACTGGGGATCAAGAAGACAGAGCACACACACACACACACACACACACACACACACACACACACACACACACACACACACACACACAAAACATACCAAGTGATGTTTCTATGACTACATTGTGATTTCTTAGATATTTCTTTAGAGAAAAGCTTTATTGTATTTATCTTAGTGAATCCATCATTAATTCAACAGGTAAACTAGTAGTAGCACATTCAATGTCAAAGGAAGTAAAATGTTATCAGGCGAGGGAGAATGTTTAAGTGGTTAGCAGCAGTGTGCTAGCCCATGGCCCTTTCCATGAGGGCACCACAGCTCAGCAGAACACCATTGTAGCTTCTTCTGGGGGAGAAAATCACTTGGAGAGAAAAGTTTTCTACCATCTTAGTTGCACTACTCCTTCGCATCATCCAACCCACCAAAGCTATAGAGCGCTGTGATTGGCAAGATGCTAGACTTGTCAGGCCTGCTGAGGCTCTAAGGGAGCGTGGCTAGACTGACATGCAGAGCAAAATCATTTTTGCTTTGACTACTGTCTGTTTACATTTCATGGCTAGGGGTTTTCCAGCAAGAACAGCCTATTTAAGGTCAGATGGTCTTCTGGATGTTCTAAAGAGCAGAATTCTTAGTTCTATCAGTTACAGCAGCCCCAGACCATCACACTACCACCACCATGCCTGGCTGTTTTAGTGTTTAGTTTGACTCCACGTGTGACAGGACGCTCCCCTTCCAGGATGTACAACCCTGTGGTCGATTATTAAGCCGATAAACACACCAGAACAAGTTTCTGTTAATTAGCCAAATTTATTTATGTCAAAAATTCAGTCTTAACAGAAAAATCATTTCATCGTTGAGGAGTGAGCACCACCTCACCCCTGCCACGTGGACTTCAAGGGATAAACCATCAATCCTGCTCAATGGTCAACTTTCCTGGCGGGGTCACCCATGAAGACAGTGGGAGGGTTAGAAAAGGTCTCATTTTAAAATGGATTTTTTTTAGACACTGAATTTCTAGCTAAACTGAAATGATAAAAACATGAAAAAGCATCTTTTCTCTTTCTTTTTCAGTGTCCATAAAATGGTTTAAGGATATTTTACTAGTTTTCACGCACACTTCATAGTGATGAACTCATCCCTTTTTGGGCTAAAAGTTTTTTTTTTATTATTATTAATAACTAGACAGGAAATGATGCAGGAAGTTTCCAGGTTCAATTATCACCTTCAATGTTAACATGCCACACAAATAACAAAATACTAGTTTGTGAGCTTTAATCAGGTTTATTAATTATATCTTTACTAACAAAAGGTAAAAACACATGAGATGGATGAAGGAACCTTTGGAAAAGACTGACCTCAGGATGCAGAAATGTTCTCGTGAGGCAAATTCTGTCCTCCTGAGGTGTAAAACGAGTCCGAGAACAGCCGAGGAAGAAGAGAAATGCTACAGATTGATAGTTTGGCTTTCTTAGATAAAATCTGATCAGTGCGTTTAAAGCGTTGGCTGTTGGGGTTTGGTGACGGCGAGGGCTTTGCCGTTAAAATCTCACCAGAACAAAACGGTTAAAAATGGAGCAATGACCACAAAGCCGTGTGATTAAAACGCTACACACTAGGAGTCACTTTGACAACACAACGATTCTCTTCTTCGCGTGGGCATTTGTGCACAGTGGAAGACCAAATCAGGGCCAGCTGCTTAAGACAGAAAAGCTCAGCAGGATGGCGGTCCAGACGTGGAGCTGGTGTGTGACGGTTTCTGCTCGATGAGACGTCTGGAGCTGAATCCTGTGTAAGGAGGGTTTTCTAAAGAACTAAACTACAAAACGGTAAAAAGGTGTGAAACTACAATAAATTAGTCCACAACAATCTGACCCAGACACAGAACACTTTAGTTTCATCCTACAGAATTCCCACATCAAATAGATTTTTTTAATAAAAACGTTATAAAATAAATAAGCACTCTTTCCCTTTGAGTTTTGTGTAGAAAAGGAGCTGCACAGTGAGCTGGCCTGGGAGGAGAGAGAGCCTCATTGACGATGCTGTTTGACCTGCCCCCTCTTGTCCTCTTCGTGGCGGTTAACGGTCCTCAGTACACCCAGTTCACCGGGACCCACTGGGCTTCCGTGCACAGTTTGTCCACAGCAGCCTGTAACGTCTCAAAGGCCTTGTCCAGGTTGTCGTTGACGATGGTCAGGTCGAAGTAGTGGCTGTACGCCCTCTGGATCCGAGCGCTCTCATCCACGGTCTTCCTCAGGTCCACGTCCTGCAGAAACGGGAGGAATGGGTCGGTTCTGGAGACACTCACACGTGGCACGGTTCTGTGCTTGGTTTTTTCTGCCTTAGCTGAGACGGTTTCGATCGGGACTGCGGCTAAAACATTCATTCAGGTCCTGCATTAGGCTATTTCCTTCAAGAAATAATAGACCTTTCATTTAAAATGGTAAACGACCTGCTTTTATATAGCGCCTTCTTAGAGCTCTACAGCCCCCCAAAGCGCTTCACAACACCATCAGTCATTCACACATTCACACGCTGGTGGTGATGGGGTACAATGTAGCTACAGCTCCAACCAACATCAACAAGTAGAACACTGAATCTTTCCAGTTTCACCCGTATTTAGTCAAGAATAAATACTATTTAATTCATAATGTATTCGTTCCAATAATATTTCAAAAAGTCATGAGGAGATCTGAGCTGATGGGAATCATCTCACTGTCACTGCATGCGTGTGCACGTCCTCACGCTCGTTACTCACGGTGAGCTGTTTGGTCGTGAGGCCGGCGTCCACCACGGCTTTGTGCATGCCCTTCAGCGTGTCAAAGTCGGGCGCCGCGATGAACACCACGTAGGGCATGAACTCTGCTGTCTTCAGCACCTTCAGCGCCTGGAGAACAAGACAGAACATCACACACAGGAATCATTAAAGGTTCCACAGTCGGAGGAGATTCCCGACTCTTAAAGGTGGAATTCTGTGCTGCGTGCCTGTGGGTTGACGTCCAAAATGCAGGTGCGTCCCGTGGACACCACCTCATGGATGGAGTCGATCTTCGTGCCGTATAAGTTGCCGTCGTACTCTCCGTGTTCCAGGAAGCGACCAGCCTTCACGTCCGCCTCCATCTCCGTCCTTGAGGTGAAGTTGTAGGAGTTCCCGTTTAGCTCTTCATCGCGGGGTCTCCGTGAAGTGTCTGGAAATAAAACAACTGTGTTAAGGAGTCAAGAGCTGGAGTGTGAAGGAAGGTTTTATTTCAGTATTTATGAGACTGAAATGTGTACATGGAACAGTGGTGCCAAAGCATGTGGGTTGGAGGACCATCAGTCGGTTTTTCAGGCTGCGTCGGCCCACTCCCTGAGCTCCAATCAGAACCAGAGTCTTCCTTTGGAAAGCCGGAACCTTGGCCACTTCCTCGTAAATCTGTAACTCGTGTCTGTCGAACTCTGTTTGGATAAAGTTAGAAATTATTCAAAAAATTTATTTACCAAAAATATCAGCTGCGAATCAAGAAATCCTTCTGACCTGCATTCTTAGCTGTTAAATACATCATCTTCTTCTTCTTCTTTGCTGCCAAGGTTCCACAAAGTATTCCTACAAAACAAAAGAGGAACTTTTTAATTACTTGGACAGGAGGAGCCTCCACCTTTTGGAACGGACGTAGTCATGGGGTCGTCCTGCAGATACCTGGATGATAACCTCGACTCTAAAGACCTGGAACAGGATTCTCCAGCATTAACAGCTGGATCCCAACAGACGCATCAAACAAATAAAAAAGACTGAACTTGTTGGTTTGATGCTTTTCATCCTGGATGAGGTGGTTTTTAAGAGGATTCTGCTAATCTCTGCCTCCTTCTTCAAGCCCAATAGCTGCATCAGAAAGGGTGAGGTCACAAAGTAGGACTAAATTAATAACATGGAATTTTCTCCACCCACAGTTGCTCCATATTCATGCAGATCCATGGTTGTACACCTGTGGAATCAGCACACTCAGCCAAAAAGCCAAAAATCTTAAAATATTCTCACTTCATGCAAATCCCACACTGGACTCCAAATGAAAACGGTTCTAGGAACTCTGTGGAAGCTGGAGAGGATGGTGGTTAGCTGACGTTCTATTGAAGCTGCTGAATCAGACCTGGGCTGGTACGTGCTGGTGCGTAATGGTGAGGTTTGTTGCGTGTTGGTGCATGTTGATGAGTGTTGGTGAGGGTTGATGCGGGTTGGTGAGTGTTGGTGTGTGTTGGTGCGTGTTGGTGAGGGTTGTTGCGGGTTGGTGAGTGTTGGTGCGGGTTGGTGAGGGTTGTTGCGGGTTGGTGAGTGTTGGTGAGGGTTGTTGCGGGTTGGTGAGTGTTGGTGCGTGTTGGTGAGGGTTGTTGCGGGTTGGTGAGTGTTGGTGCGTGTTGTTGCATATTGATGAGGGTTGGTGAGTGTTGGTGAGGGTTGTTGCGTGTTGTGGGATGATGAGGATTGGTGTGTGTTGGTGACGATTGGTGCATAATGGTGAGGGTTGATGAGGATTGGTGCATGTTGGTGAGGTGGTGTATGTTGGTGCATGTTGGTGCGTGTTGGTGTGAGTTGTGGTGGGTTGGTGCGTGTTGGTGAGTGTTGGTGCGTGTTGGTGAGTGTTGGTGAGTGTGGGTGCATGTTGGTGAGTGTTGGTGCGTGTTGGTGTGTGTTGGTGCGTGTTGGTGAGGGTTGTTGCGGGTTGGTGAGTGTTGGTGCGTGTTGGTGCGTGTTGGTGCGAGTTGGTGAGGGTTGTTGCGAGTTGGTGAGGGTTATTGCGGGTTGGTGAGGGTTATTGCGGGTTGGTGAGTGTTGGTGAGTGTGGGTGCATGTTGGTGAGTGTTGGTGCGTGTTGGTGTGTGTTGGTGAGGGTTGTTGCGGGTTGGTGAGGGTTATTGCGGGTTGGTGAGTGTTGGTGAGTGTGGGTGCATGTTGGTGAGTGTTGGTGCGTGTTGGTGTGTGTTGGTGCGTGTTGGTGAGGGTTGTTGCGGGTTGGTGAGTGTTGGTGCGTGTTGGTGCGAGTTGGTGAGGGTTGTTGCGGGTTGGTGAGTGTTGGTGCGGGTTGGTGAGTGTTGGTGCGGGTTGGTGAGGGTTGTTGCGGGTTGGTGAGTGTTGGTGCGTGTTGGTGAGGGTTGTTGCGGGTTGGTGAGTGTTGGTGCGGGTTGGTGAGTGTTGGTGCGTGTTGGTGAGGGTTGTTGCGGGTTGGTGAGTGTTGGTGCGTGTTGGTGAGTGTTGGTGCGTGTTGGTGAGGGTTGTTGCGGGTTGGTGAGTGTTGGTGCGTGTTGGTGAGTGTTGGTGCGTGTTGGTGAGTGTTGGTGCGGGTTGGTGAGTGTTGGTGCGTGTTGGTGAGGGTTGTTGCGGGTTGGTGAGTGTTGGTGCGTGTTGGTGAGGGTTGTTGCGGGTTGGTGAGGGTTGTTGCGGGTTGGTGAGTGTTGGTGAGTGTTAGTGCGTGTTGGTGTGTGTTGGTGCGTGTTGGTGCGTGTTGGTGAGGGTTGTTGCGGGTTGGTGAGTGTTGGTGCGGGTTGGTGAGTGTTGGTGCGTGTTGGTGAGGGTTGTTGCGGGTTGGTGAGTGTTGGTGCGTGTTGGTGAGGGTTGTTGCGGGTTGGTGAGTGTTGGTGCGGGTTGGTGAGTGTTGGTGCGTGTTGGTGAGGGTTGTTGCGGGTTGGTGAGTGTTGGTGCGTGTTGGTGAGGGTTGGTGCGTGTTGGTGAGGGTTGTTGCGGGTTGGTGAGGGTTATTGCGGGTTGGTGAGTGTTGGTGCGAGTTGGTGCGGGTTGGTGAGGGTTGTTGCGGGTTGGTGAGGGTTATTGCGGGTTGGTGAGGGTTATTGCGGGTTGGTGAGTGTTGGTGAGTGTGGGTGCATGTTGGTGAGTGTTGGTGCGTGTTGGTGTGTGTTGGTGAGGGTTGTTGCGGGTTGGTGAGGGTTATTGCGGGTTGGTGAGTGTTGGTGAGTGTGGGTGCATGTTGGTGAGTGTTGGTGCGTGTTGGTGTGTGTTGGTGCGTGTTGGTGAGGGTTGTTGCAGGTTGGTGAGTGTTGGTGCGTGTTGGTGCGAGTTGGTGAGGGTTGTTGCGGGTTGGTGAGTGTTGGTGCGGGTTGGTGAGTGTTGGTTGGGGTTGGTGAGGGTTGTTGCGGGTTGGTGAGTGTTGGTGCGTGTTGGTGAGGGTTGTTGCGGGTTGGTGAGTGTTGGTGCGGGTTGGTGAGTGTTGGTGCGTGTTGGTGAGGGTTGTTGCGGGTTGGTGAGTGTTGGTGCGTGTTGGTGAGGGTTGTTGCGGGTTGGTGAGGGTTGTTGCGGGTTGGTGAGTGTTGGTGCGGGTTGGTGAGTGTTGGTGCGGGTTGGTGAGTGTTGGTGCATGTTGGTGAGGGTTGTTGCGGGTTGGTGAGTGTTGGTGCGTGTTGGTGAGGGTTGTTGCGGGTTGGTGAGGGTTGTTGCGGGTTGGTGAGTGTTGGTGAGTGTTAGTGCGTGTTGGTGTGTGTTGGTGCGTGTTGGTGCGTGTTGGTGAGGGTTGTTGCGGGTTGGTGAGTGTTGGTGCGGGTTGGTGAGTGTTGGTGCGTGTTGGTGAGGGTTGTTGCGGGTTGGTGAGTGTTGGTGCGTGTTGGTGAGGGTTGTTGCGGGTTGGTGAGTGTTGGTGCGGGTTGGTGAGTGTTGGTGCGTGTTGGTGAGGGTTGTTGCGGGTTGGTGAGTGTTGGTGCGTGTTGGTGAGGGTTGTTGCGGGTTGGTGAGTGTTGGTGCGGGTTGGTGAGTGTTGGTGCGTGTTGGTGAGGGTTGTTGCGTGTTGGTGAGTGTTGGTGCGTGTTGGTGAGGGTTGTTGCGGGTTGGTGAGTGTTGGTGCCTGTTGGTGAGGGTTGTTGTGGGTTGGTGAGAGTTGGTGAGTGTTGGTGTGTGTTGGTGAGTGTTGGTGAGGGTTGTTGCATATTGATGAGGGTTGGTGAGTGTTGGTGAGGGTTGTTGCGTGTTGTGGGATGATGAGGATTGGTGCGTGTTGGTGTGTGTTGGTGACGATTGGTGCATAATGGTGAGGGTTGATGAGGATTGGTGCATGTTGGTGAGGTGGTGTATGTTGGTGCATGTTGGTGCGTGTTGGTGTGAGTTGTGGTGGGTTGGTGCGTGTTGGTGTGAGTTGTGGTGGGTTGGTGCGTGTTGGTGAGTGGCGGTGCATGTTGGTGAGTGTTGGTGAGTGTGGGTGCATGTTGGTGAGTGTGGGTGCATGTTGGTGAGTGTTGGTGCGTGTTGGTGAGGGTTGGTGCGTGTTGGTGAGGGTTGGTGCGTGTTGGTGTGAGTTGTGGTGGGTTGGTGCGTGTTGGTGGGTGTTGGTGCGTGTTGGTGCGTGTTGGTGAGTGTTGGTGAGTGTTGGTGAGTGTGGGTGCATGTTGGTGCATGTTGGTGTGAGTTGTGGTGGGTTGGTGCGTGTTGGTGAGAGTTGGTGCGTGTTGGTGAGTGTGGGTGCATGTTGGTGAGTGTGGGTGCATGTTGGTGAGGGTTGTTGCGTGTTGGTGAGGTGGTGTATGTTGGTGCGTGTTGGTGGGGGCTGGTACGTGTTGGTGTATATTGGTGTGTGTTGGCGCATGTTGGTGTGTGACACACACTGTGTGTTGGTGCGTGTTGGTGAGGTGGTGTATGTTGGTGCGGGTTGGTGAGGGCTGGTACGTGCTGGTGCGTAATGGTGAGTGTTGATGAGTGTTGGTTTGTGTAGGTATGAGTTGGTGTGTATTTGTGTGTGTTGCTAAATTTTGGTGTGTGGTGGAGTGTGTGTTGCTATGTGTTGGGTTATGTTGGGTTGGTTTGAGTGTGTGGGTGTGTGTTGCTGTATTTTGTTGTGTGTTGTGTTTTGCAATGTATTGTTGTGACTTAAGCTGGGCGGACACTGTGCGACTTTTTCCCTCGTAGCACTCAGCTTCAGCTCAAACTGTACGACTTCCTCGCAGGGCAGATCTCATGAGTCATGCGCTCACACTGCACGACCCAGTTCTCAGATGCGACCTGACTGCTCACACTGTACGTCTGGTAGCAACACGTCAGACCTAAACAATACGCTAAAAATAGCAGTTTTTACACAACACGCCAGACTTTTTTCTCTTGTTTTGCCTGTTGTCCTTCGGGAGTGCTGCAGGAGGACACACAGGGATTTATGGGGGTTGGATGAGGAAAACGAAATAAAGAAAGTAAATCTGGGTTTTGTGATCTGTTTAATTTGACATGAACACGACAAACACGCTTTCTTGACAATCTTTGTGAGTAAAAAAACGTGCAGAAATAAAAATGAACAACGTGTGTTATTAGGGAAATACCGGGCGGGCGGTGTTGATGCATGATTGCGCCGTGAGCGGTTCTGGTACTTTTTGGGTCGCAGCTGCTCACAGCGCCGCTTCAACAGTGCGATACCTTCACGAGGGACGAGCAAATTTTCAAACACGCCAGAAGTTTGTGCGAGCTCACGATTGCTGATCGGTAGCTGGTCACGTGGTGTTTATGGTCTCTCGTAACCCCCTGTACACGACGCTCGGCGCAAAACTCGCCCCGATCTCGTGGATTCTCGCACGAGTGGAAAATCGGCTCAAAAAAGTGAAAAAGTCGCACAGTGTACACCCGGCTTTATATTTCACCTTTACAGGATCTACAATGCAGCTCTAAATCTTATTCCTGAGCTGTTACAGTCTAAGGCACACCTTCTGCATCTAATCAACACAACAACTCCCTCACAATCGAGGCTAACGACTTGTCAGGGTAGGCGTAGGGAGGAGGGGTATTCAGAGTGATTTTCTGCTTGTTAAGCGACAATAGACAGCTGCTAGCCTAGTGAACTAGACCAAATTCTTGCTTTGCAAAGAATGGTCTAGGCATGCTCCATTGGAACCTCAGCAGCTCCTACCAGGACTCTGGCTGGCCAATCACAGCTCTCTAGAGGGGTTTCAAACACATAAAGAGCTGTGATTGGTCCATAATGGTGGGCCAGTCATAGTGCTCTATCTGCTTAGTGAACAAATCCCAGAGCTTTATCCGCGTTGTGGGCCAATCAGGGCACTCTATATGCCTGGTGGGTGGGATGATGCAACAGAGTGAAACAAGAGTATGTCACATTCATTGTCCAGTGGAATGCAGAGATCATTTGAAAGACAACAGTAGAACCCACCCCACAACCAAGAGCCGTCAATGGAGCGTGGCCAGACTAAATAATACATTTATTTAGCTGGCTTGCCAGGCTAGACAGCTGCAGCTTATTAGCCTGACTCTCCCACATTCCAGTTAGAATTGACAACGCTCCTCGGATGAGAAGCAAAACGTCTTCAAGAAACCAAAGAAGTCCAGTTGCCTTCTTTCGAACCCTTTTGGCTTACCATGACCTGGATGACTGAGAACCGTCACCAGTTTATTGCTGTGCTTTGGTGTGTGTTCTTTAGTTGCTTGGGGTTAAATATAAAAGACAGAAGATAAGAATGTTTAATTATCAAGCTGCACTTTTTCTGTAACTTTTTGATTTCTATTTCTATCACATTTAGCCGCTGCCATGGCAACCAGATCCCTCCCCATGATACAGTAGTTATCAATCTATCTGTATGTTACTGCAGCATTTGGCCAGTAGGAGGCAGGCATGCTCCTTTACCTCAGCTTTAAACATACTAGTGCCAGATTGGCGTCAGGTCTGGGGTAAGAATTGTCATAATCCCCCGTCTCCTGCTGCCGCCAGCAGCCAAACAGCTGATTAGAAGAACACTCTGTCAAACCAGCGGGACAGAACACACCTGACCCATCAAAGTCTCTGGGAACAAAAGCTTTCCTCTTCTCCTCCAGAAATTGGCTGGGAATGAGTCCTGTGGCTCCACCCACTACATGGCATGCCTGGAGATCACAGAACAACCTTTTATGGCTCCTGTGATTTTTGTTGACAAGTGAAAACAAAACAAATTGAAGGCTCACCTGCCACCAGTTGAGGTCCTCTCGGTTGACAATTTGAAGGATGTCGCCCTTCCTGAAGGCCATTCCTGCCTCTCGACACGGGATTAGGTTGTCACTGGCTGGGTCGTAGTTAAAGTATGGCCGCACGTACACCTGTGGTGATCAAGGATTCACTTCTGAAATCTTAAACCTGAGTTAGTCTTTCAGTGTTTAAGCCGAGATAAAAAACGCAAAGAAATGTATGGTCAGTGTGAGCTAATCAGAAAAGCACAATGACCACAGCTTCTTTACCGTCATTACAGCCTGAACCCCAGGGAAACAGACTGCACCAGCAGCAGATGCATCTGCCAGAGAGGTTAAGTGCTCCAGCTGATGCATTCGATTAAACAAGCAGACGGAGGAAGCAATAAAACAAGCCAGTAAAATATACCACGCTCCGAGCCAGAGTGCAGGATGTCGTTTTGCTTTATGTCTCATTCACGGTCATTCCTAAGCATTCAGTTCACTTCAGTTCCATGAAGCCTTTTAGGATCAAGGTGCATAAAATCATAACAACTTTTTGGTCTTGACTCGTTTTTCTCTTCATATTGTGGCAGAAATGGGAATTTACTGTACTCGTGTGTGTGTGTGTGTGTGTGTGTGTGTGTGTGTGTGTGTGTGTGTGTGTGCGTGTGCGTGTGCGTGTGTGTGTGTGTGTGTGTGTGTGTGTGTGTGTGTAAGGCCGGATTAACCATATGGGCAACTGGGCAATTGCCCAGGGCCCACGTACTCTAAAGGGCCCAGGGCAGCAAGGGCACGAGCAAAACACTGCATCTGCAAACTCCCGCTTTATTTAAACTAGGGTGACCATACGTCCTCTTTTTCCCGGACATGTCCACTTTTCACTCTCTGTCCGGGCGTCCGGACTGGGGGTTCTTGTACTGATGAAAATGTCCGGCTTTTCATCCAGGAGCAGGGGTCAAATTATGGGGGAGCTGTATATCCTACACATCCAGGGGAGCCGGAAAAAGGTGTTCTATCTATATTACATCATTTATGGACTCTTGTGAGCAGAGAGCAGCAGAGCGCTGATCGTTGGTGCAGCGCTCCAGGCTGCTGCGTCCAGCGCACGGTCCATTCTCAAAGTGGCGCAACCCAAAAAACTATAATTAACACACGATCGTTCATGTCCGCACATGTTCTCTACTTTCTGTCTTATTTGTGCCTGAAGCGCTCTGCTACTGCGGAGCTCATCACCTGTGCTGCGGTGATGTCACCTCACTGACGCAGCATCGAAACGCGCTCTCCGCTTTGCGGTCAGGAGATCCCTTTGATCTGCTGAAAAGTAACTGATGAGGTGAAAAAGTAAGAATCCAGGCAGCAGTTTTTCTGGAGAGTTTAGAGGAGATGCAGGAAGATGAGAGACAGACAGGACAGGAAAATAGTTAAATAAAAACAAGAAAACAAAGTAAAATGTAGGTAGATTTATCTCCACTACGCGTTTTTACCTGTATTAAAACAATAAGTTATACACATGTCATATTTATACATCTGATAAAATTCAGATCACCTTCATAACTCAGTCACACACCCAGGGCCGTTTCAAGACATTTTGGGGTCCAAGGCAAAAAGCACTGAAGTAGAAAAATGAGATTTTGCAATATATATGCTAAATATTCACATATAAATTGTTTTAGAGCCCTTTTATTGGCCGAATCTATATTAATTTAGTTCTTACAAAAAAATGGGTCCCAGCGTTGTGTGGCGTTGCCATAGTGTGACATCATAGGCACAGATCCCCTGTCCTCTTTTTTGGAAATGGAAATATGGTCACCCTATATTAAACAAACTGTCCACCCGGGCTTTTGCGCTGCACAGAGACGCTTCGCTGCCTATGACTTTGAACGACAGTTGGGAGCGGTTGGGAGTCAGTCTCATGCAGACTGACCAATGAAGAGAGGGCCTCAAGTTAAGACCCTCTCCTCATTGGTCAGTCTACACGAGGTGGGTCAAAGGTTACCCTGAGCGGGTTACGTGATGTCAGGCATTCAAGTATCGAGTATATTTACTGCATATTACAGTAAAATATTCTGTATGTGACCACATTATGGTGATCCTTGGGTCGTGATGATGGGGCCCTTTAATATTGTTGCCCAGGGTACAACAAAGTGTTAATCTGGCCCTGTGTGTGTGTGTGTGTGTGTGTGTGTGCGTGCGTGCGTGCGTGCGTGCGTGTGTGAGACAGAAGCAGCTTTTCTGACCCAGATAGCACATGGAGTGGTATTAATAGGGCTCCTGTGGTTCACATTCATACTCAGAGGATTGCAGGAAGACCAGATTACCACCACTCAAACATCTGCCACTCTCGGGTCCTGAACCATCTGCTGGTTTGTTTTTCTGTTTTTCACCTGAGGAGGAGCAGGAGCGTCCCTGTAGCTCGGGAGGATCTTCAGCGTGATCCCTCCACTGCAGTCTTTCAGCATCTCCTGCAGCTCAGTGGGGTTGTTGCCCACGTCTTTCCCGTTCACCTCCTTAATGATGTCGCCTACGTGCAGCAGACCCTGCCGGTCGATCATGCCCCCGTGGAGGATCCTGGCGATGACCAGGTCATCCTTCTCCACCCGAAACGTCACGCCCTGCGAGGAAGAGCTGAATGTTTAAACACTTTTTAAATAATTCAGGGATGTACAACAAAACCATCGGTGGGCGTTCGCCCTGGCTCACCAGCGGCTCACCGGCCTTCTTTCGGATGCCGATCATGCGCACGGCGTCGGCTTGCATGAGAGCGTTGTTCACCGCTGCGTCGTTGGTCGCCTCTGCCGGGGGAGGGACTTCGTAGCATTTTGATGCTACCATGTCATGAGCCTCTAAAAGAGACTGAGAGAAAGAAAGGAGTTCAGAGAGAGGAAGTAATAAAACACCACAGCAAGCCAGGTGAAAGATTGCTCCCTTTCTTCATGTAGATGTTAATTCCTGCAGGAATTCATCACTTCACTCTGATGACTGCATGTAACTCCACATGTACAGTAGAGGGTCTCTTGTAGTTTAAATGATCCAAACAGGAACAAAAACACAGAAAGGGGAGGACTTTTCTCCTGCAGGCACATGTAAAAATACATCTTAATGGAATCTCATTCTCATCTATTCACTGTTGGTTGACTGATTATTGCTCATACAAACACCCGGTCCTGATGTTTCCATCACTTTTTCCTACATATACCAAGACTCACTGGAAAACCCACACGCAGTGTGATAATGTCGGTTTTCCTTCTTTATCTGGCCAGCCTTTCCCTTCCTCCCATGTCATCTGTCCTCCTCAGTAGGTCAACAGAGTCTTATCGTTCTGCTCACAGCTCAAAGGCCTCTGATTGGTGCAGAAGCTGTGCCGGGCTCAGATTTGCTTCTACTATTGGTCGGCTCGGTGTAACAGAGGATAGCGGTCTACTAAGTCCGGTTTCAGCCTCCCATCACCTGAAAATGTGGCTCCTGGAGGATTCTGGAGAGTTCAGCAGCACTGTCATCTTTCACCTTCAGTGTGCTGATGTCACCTAGGATCTCCGTCACCAGCTCCACGTTGTTGTCCTGCACAGCTTCTAGCTTCACTTCCTCCTGCTGCTCTTGAGCCTGGAGGATGCACACATGTTTCTCTGAGCTTTTATTTGAAGCTGTAATACCTGAATGAATCTGTCGTTTCAATAAATACCACCCCTGCATGGTAGTAAATGTGATTTGTAACCAGACTGATGGTATGTTTGCTGTGATGAAGCACCTGAGGTGGTTAGTCTGCTCACCACTTCCCACCCTCAGCCATATACGTGTGCTACCTGAGCAGGGGAACGTACAATTGGACTTTCCATGATGCCGCGCAGGAAGAGCAGGTCGATGTCTTTGGCACCTGTGGAGGTGGGCGGCTCGCCTGCATTCTCCAGCACCTGCTGCATGGCTGCAAGCAAACGGACACAAATACACAGAGTTATCCAGGTGTGGAAGTCACAAAGAGACACACGCTCTGTACTGACTGATAACACACACACACACACACACAAACCCAGACACTGTAAACCAATAAAACTTCTGAGTAAATTCCTACAAATAACTTAATATACCTGCAAAGGGTTCCTGAGGCTTTAGATGTTGAATTAGTGAAATAAATACATTTTTGCACTAGACCGATATGGGGTTTTTAAGGCTGATACCGATTTTTAAAGAATTTTGTTGCAGATGGCCGATATCGAAAGCCGATCATTAAGGCTGATATATATATATATATATATATATATATATATATATATATATATATATATATATATATATACACACACACACACACACACATACATATATATGTATATATATATATATATATATATATATATATATATACATATATGTGTGTGTGTGTGTGTGTGTGTGTATATATATATATATATACACACACACACACACATACATATATATGTATATATATATAAATATATATATATATATATATATAGACACACACACACACACGTTTTAGCAGCACATTGATCGTGAAAGACAACTGAACACTCACTGTGTACAATTTAAATTAAATAAGTCAATACATCTCTTAACCCTCCCACTGTCTTTATGGGTGTGACCCCGTGAGGAAAGTTGACCATTGAGCAGGATTGATGGTTTATCCCTTGAGGTCCACGTGGCAGGAGTGAGGTGGTGCTCACTCCTGCCACGTGGACCCAAGGGATAAACCATCAACCCTGCTCAATGACCAACCTTCCTCACGGGGTCACACCCATTAGGACAGTGGGAGGGTAAATACTTATTGAACTTCACATACAAAGCAAACTCAAAACATTTTTAAAAAACTGTGTGTTGGGGTCTTTCGGGTCCTTTATTCAGTCTATTAGTGGCGGCAGTTGGCCACACAGGTGCCTGATTGATTGATTGATTGATTATATTGGCTTTTAAAAATAATTCTGGCCGATATATCAACCAGCCTCTTATTTTGCGCCATATTCTGATTTTTTCCTGTTTAACCTGTAGTTGGTTCTTGCTGAGGCCCTGCAACCATGTTTAAAGGCCACCAGTGAAACATCAGACCCTTGATCCTGTTTGTACAACCAGATAGAAGCAGAGGTGTGGACTACATGTGTGAGCCTGCTAACACGTCAGGCCAGGATCCCAAAGCCAGTGTAAAGCCATTTAAGGCACTTAAAGCCCTGGAAAAATGTGTGAGCGTTTTAAAGCATGCTTCAGTGTGTTATTATACACTTATGTGAGTAATAAGTACTCTCTGTCAGCACAGTTAACTCACTATTATTACTGGGAAGTGTGCTCTGCTAACCTGCTATTACTCTTTTAACACCGAGTCACACTGTGTCATCAAGCCTGGCTCTGTCTGTACTTTGCATCCTCTTTAGAAAACAGTGCAAAGCGCTAAATTACTGTCCTGGAGACACAAATGAAGAAGTGCTGCAGCTGCTCTCTGTCTGACCTTTGGGCTTCTAAAGCTACATGTGCTGCAAAGTTTTAAAACACCGAATTACAATGATGAATGCTAGAGAGTTAAGCTAACATCTGTGTAGTGGCCAGCGTGTAGTGTTGGGGTGCTGTACTACCACACCAACCTTTGGTTAGCACAGGAGTTGTAGAGCTGATTGTGTTGCAGCTATTTGCTAATGTCAGTTAGCTGTGGTGGCCATCTTGAGTCGGGTTGGCTGTGTTTAAATTAAGGCGCTGCATCCTTCCAAGACCCGTGTACAAAAACTGATTAGATCACAGAGATGTGGCAAAGGTTGTCCCAATTCAAAGACAAATGAAAATATTAATAATATAATAATTCTAACTCCTCCAAATGTGGCCCACCACAATGTCCGGTTGGTTCAACATCACCATTTTGTCAGTCTGGATCTGGAAGTCCCACAGGAGCTTGGCTCTCTCATACTCAACCACCTTAGGGGGTGTTACCCACTTTGGCCTTGAGACTTCCAGTCCATACTCTGCACAGAGGTTTCTGTACACTATGCCAGCCTCATGGTTATGATCTTCCATGTATGCCTTCCCTGCCAGCATTTTACACCTCACAGTTATGTGGTGAACTGTCTCAGGGGCCTCTTTGCATAGCCTACACCTTGGGTCTTGTCTGGTGTGGTAGATCTTGGCATCTGTTGCTCTGGTGTTTAGGGCTACTGTACTGTCAGTGGGGACCGGATTTAGGTGTCAACGCCTGTGGTCTGTATTTCTTTCTTTGGTCAGCTTATTATTCCTGCAGGACATCTGATTACTGGAAGGACTTAGCTGTTTAGATCTCAGATCTTGCTCTTGCTATTGAGCTGACCTCTTAGGACTTGCCTTACTTGATGTAGGTATTTGGCTGTGACTCCTTTTCTTGCGGCTTCATCAACGTTGCCTTTTGCTTGTGAGGTATCAAAGTACTTATAGCTGTCTTCAATGTCTGCTATTGTTCCTTCTGGGAGTGAGACCCCCTATCTGTGTGAACTACCTTCCCTTTCTTTGTCACCATTCGACTAGACCATATAACATGCTGATATCAGTGCTGTAGATCCTGGTTGTCTGGATCCATTAGTCGACTTATTGCTCGCTCTTGGCGTACAGCTTTCATCAATGTAGAGAGGTGGCTGATTGTGGTTTCATTCTTGAGTTGGTTTTCATAGCTAGATCTATGCAGAACATCAGTGTCTTCTTGGTATATGCCACATTAGATGGAAACTTGTGCAGTTGGCCTTAAGGGTGGTTTTCCACAGTCTCATCCAGTTTTCAACAAAGGCTCTAGACTCCTGTTGATGTTGTAAAGCACCAAGAATCCAATGATCCATGAGTGCAGTATTAAGTCATAGGCTTTCTTGTAATCAGTCCAGGCCGTGCACAGGTTGGTGTGTTGGGCTTTACAATCTTGGGTGAGTGTTTAAGCTATCATCTGCCAGTGTTTGGCTCATCTGGTATCTCTTGTGTTCATGTGCTCATGTATTGATCCATGAGCCCACTTGGTGGTCAGCTTTGGTGGGTCTACTCTGCTGTTATTACCCTGCCACTGAGAGTACACTTTAGCTGGTTGGGACAAGATGAGCCAGTTTATTTGTCTGGCTTCACTTTTTCTTGTGCATCTCTTTAGATGGCTGGCCAAGGCTTGGAGCCTTTGTTTGGCAGTTTCCAGTGCTTCAGGTATAGGTTTCTGGCTGCAGCTCATGGGTACCGTTTTTCTCATTGTACCTTTCTGGAGCTTTGACATTTGGCTCGCTTCTCTCAGTGCTGCCTTGATTTTGGCCTTCAACCTTCTTTTCCGTGGTGGGTATTGTTGCTGATGGTTCCTCTTGCTCTTATAGCCAAGCATAACAATGATCACTGCTACTGAAGTGTTTATCAGCTCATTGGTTTCAGTGATGGTGGTTGTGGGAATTTTTCCTACACATCTTTAAGAATATGTGATGGTATTTCACTTAGACGTTGTAGTTGGTGTCAGGTTGCCTGCTGTTCATGCCATGATTTTATCTTTCAGGTCAGTTGCTGCCTCCTTCAGTGATGTTTCACTTATTGTGGCTTCGTACCTAATCTCTGAATGGGGAAATGATGTGAACTCCCCTCTGATCTTGCATCCAGGCTCCCCTTGATGTAGCATTACAAGTTGTGATAGCAGTTGCCATTTGTGGATGTTGGAACACTAAGCAACTATTTGTTTGGCTGTTAAGTGTTGCATGCAGGTCCTGCAATATTTGCATGTAGCCCCTCATACTAGGGTTACTGGAGTAGTAGCATTCCAACAGATCCAGATTCACACGTCTCAACCGTTTTCTTCTTGTTCCACTAGTCCATTTTTCATCAGGGTGCTGTGGTTCCGCAGAAACTGACGAAGACCTTGTTTGGCTAGGCAACTTCTGAGCTGGCATCTCATGCTTTTCAGTTTCTCTCATGGTATGAGGTAGGATTTAGTGCCAAGGGTCTTGCCTAACTGGATGTAGGTTGTTGCCCCAGCACGGATTCGAACCCGGGTGCCTTGCAAGTTTAGATATCCAGCCACCATTTTATGTATATGTATGTGTGTAAGACTTATTTGTCCATCAGAGACGTTGCTAACTCTGCATTAGTCTAGGTACATCCTCAAACACTCACACATGCTCAGTGACTGATAAGTCTTCTTAGTCTTCTTCCGGCTCTTGGAGAGTACAGACGCTTTTTTCTCCTTTCCCACCCTCCTTACTCCAAGGTTCTTGGTCCTGTCTTGTGTGCACGGCGCTTTCTGCATTTTTTCTGGAAACTGTAAATTATTAAAAATGGATCTGGTCAGTTGATCTCTCAACACGATTGACACAATTTTTTCAATGATGAGAATGGGAGAAGGGGCTCCGGGATGCCCCTCTGGGACAGAGCCAGCTGGGTATATCATGGACTCCTGGAAACAGTGGAACCTGATATGGCTCTCTCAACTGTCTGTGGAGGATTCTGAAGATGCCTGGATATTCGTGGTTTTGGTGTCGGGATTCTTGCTGTTTGGCCTGAGCGGTTACCTGGCTTACCGGAAAATTAACGAGCTTTCGAGGAATATTAGCTCAATCCCGGAGCTCAGGGATGGAATGCATCGAACTGTGAACACACAAACTCATATAATTGTCGAGATGAGTCGTAAGCTTGGAACTTTGGCTGAGATTCAGGCTTTGACCCAGAAGGTGGATTCCATCAAGGACAGAGTTGTTGATGGATCAGCACAGATTGGGATGGATTAATTACGCCATTATTGAATCTAGAGGGGTTGATGACCAACAGAACTCTAAGGCAGAGAAGAAATTATCTCTGTCTGTCCCAAAGCAATCCTTATCTAAATCTGGTGCCCTTGGAAACTGTGAGGCTGAAGTAAAAACTCCCCCCTCAGAAGAAATACGGAATGCGCCTGTCGCTATGGAAACTCTTTCTTCCTATCCCAGCCTGGGCGGGACTGTGACTGGTGAAGGCCGTGGAACCGTATCTAGTTGATGCTTGACGATTTTGGTGAATGCTGAACAGCGCTCAGCTCAAATTGTATGGGGCTCTACAGGACGGGGGTTGGGCTTAGCAAAAGAAATGACATATAGCCTTCATTATATAGGGAGCCTAAGTCATGGCCATCTATTTCCAGACCACGGGTCCCCGGAAGAACGAAAAAATAAATGCAAGTCAATGGGGCTAATGTCACTATTTTCTAATTCCGCTTGTTTTGTGCCATAGATTTCACAAATGATGTCTGTGAATTTTAAAGATGCATTTTGATACCAAGAACTCGCTTATTTTCGAACGGGGGGGGGGAATGCTATTTTAGGTCATGTGTGAAAATAAGTCTAGGACTACAAATGCGCATCACGAAAGTGACGTCATCAAACCAGACACAGAGAAAACTGAGGGAAAATGGCTGTAAGTTCAGCAAACTTAAAATCCTGCCTTCAGGAGGAAAAAAACACCGTAAATCTGGCCATGTGGTAAGTAGCAGCTACGCTAGGGTAGAACAGATTCTGTGGCGACATGCCAATGTCTAGTTTGTAGTCATGCTAATTACGAACATTTACAAGCTGATAAATCTCAAAGAACATGACCGGCGTCATAGGCGGAGATCCCAGAGGGGATGGGGGGACGCGTCCCCCCTCACACAAAGTTGCCCCCCCCCACAAAAGTTATTGTAAACACATAAATGTTATCAGTAAACCTGTATTTTCTTCTAAAACCACAACGTAAAAGTTAGTCTGCAAATACAAAACAATGTGTTTTTAATTGTTGAGAAATTATAGTCCCCCCAATTCCTCAAGTCTGTACGGTCGGTCCACACGCGCTCTTTCCAACGGGTGGGGCTGCCGGCTCTGCTCCGCTCACAGCTTCACAGCAGCCCGAAGGCTCACAGGAGGTGGGAATCAAAAAGCCAGCGGTTTCCAGCAGCAAGTCATTTATCACACGCTTCTTCTACAAACTTAAATATGTATGTCAGATGTGGTCATAAATGTCAAACATAGACACCGATTATCTTTAGATTTTGATCACCGGTGGTAGATCCCTTTATGACAGACCACCACCACCACAGTAAAAAAAAAGTTGTCACTTCATGTTCTCTGGTCATTCCAGGATTATTCCGCTATTATTATTCCATTCACTAAGGTGATCAAAGTTCCTTTTTCCGGACACGTACGCTTTCACGGTCTGCCCCTGGAATCTGCGGAGCATTTATAGATCGATGAAAATGTCCGCGTTTCATCCTATTTAGCAGATGAATATGGTAGAATCAAAACTAACTGGTCGGATGTATGGAAAACCACAGCGTTTAGCCGCTCTTATCGCGTCTTCCCCAGGCTCTGCAGTTGTTTACAATATGTCAAAGTGCAGATGCACCGTGCAGCTTAGGGATGAACTGGCTGCAGCAAATGTGTGGTGGGGGCACGTTGCTCAAAGCTCTCAGTGTAAAACATAGAGCCAAAGATCCCGTTGGCCACACAGACCCAAAACACTATGAAAACTGAGAAAAGTGAGAGATCGATTAAACTGAAAGATAAACTATAGAGTATGTATATGTTTAGTGTATTTGTAAAGTAAATGTTTTTAATTTTTATTATTAAAATGAAACAAATATTTCAAGAATATATTTTTAGATTTTGTGTAGCTTTTCATTCAGTAGGACTTAGATAAAGTTGTTAAATATTACAGAGTTATTCTCTAATAGCCTACAAACATTTCTATGATTTATTAAAGAGATTTCAGTCATTTTGATACTTGACTTGTGAAAGCTGATTTGAAGGTTGTTATTTTTTCTAGACATATTTAGAAGGAAAATTTCAAATATATTAAAATCAATATGGAACTATTTGGATTTTAGTAGCTTTCATGTTATGTGATTTAATAAAATTTTTATTTGACACGTTCTCTCTCTTTGTTGTGAAAAAGTTAGATATGTTTTAGTACTTAAAATTAATGCTTTGCATCGGTCCACACGTCTAGCTGCTGGTCAGCTAATAGCCGTGTCATTTCAGGACATGTTGCTTCAACTATTAACGATCTACTTTTAAATCTTTATTCTGAATTGCTTATTCCGTTTTAGGCCACAGTCTTGTTATTGAAATGAAAACAAAAAGAAAGGATGCTTATGGAGATGTACAAAATTGGCAAGATATTATTGTTGATCAATATCCTCCAGCTCCGTTCTAATGACAACATCCCATCTGTGTGTGTGTTGCTGTCCAACTGTCAGCAGACCAGGTCAGTTGAAATGGCAGAGAAATGAAAAACAGCAGACATCAGGTCGTTTTTTAAAGCTTCAGAGCGTCAAGTAAATAGAAACTTGCATTTTGATAAAGACATCTATAAGAAAGAAATGAAATTGTTTCTAAATGGTTTCATTAGGCAAAGTCCAGTCACTTGAGCACAGGCAGCCAGAGCCTGTCAGACACGGGCACAGAGTCTCAGGTCAGTCTCTTATAAGGACATACAGTGTTGTATGTAGAGAGCATTTTTTTCATGTCCCCCCAAAAAATTACTCTCTGAAGTTTTACTGTTTATTGCCCCCCCCAAAAATTTGAAATGGGACTTCCGCCCTTGACCGGCGTGGTCGAAACACCCATCATTAGCTTTCATTTACATTGCAGTACAACATATGTGTGATCCAGGGCGTGAGGCAAAGCAGATTAGAAACTAGCTATTTTAGCCCCGTTGACTTGCATTCATTTTTTTCGTTCTTCCAGGGACCCATGAGCCAACCGGAAAGGGAGGAGACTTAGGTTCCCTATAGGGACAGGGTCAGAGAATCACTTTTATGGATTTCTAAAGAACGCGTAATTCCTGAAAGTGGGGAAAGCTACAATCTGGAGCGTTTTTTTTTTTTTTTTATAATAATTTTGCCAAAAGGCGTGGTGGTAAAACTGCTGTAGCTCCTCCAGGATAAAAATGCTCTGCAAAATTTTTAGCTTGATTTTTTTTCCAGCACTAACATGGTTGCTAAGCGACAGGGACATACACCAAGTTGGGAATAAATCTGAAGGCTGGACCGTCCAGTTTCACAGCTGCTCACTTCCAGTCTTTGTGGTTGATGAAGGATGCAGCCTACAGTACATGGACCAGGGTCTTCATAAAGGTGCAGTCGCCAAATCTGATCACAGCCCTGACGTTGACTGAATTAGGATGTTCATCCAGTGGTTTCAATGGAATCCATTTATAGAGCTTCATGAGACTATAGCTCTCCATCAATATTGGTCCCTTAAAAAAAAAGAGTTGAAATACACAGGATGAATTTATTGTGATATTTTTGTGTCGTTCCAGTAACTTTGTGCCCTAAAACCGATAATCTGAATCTGGCGCTTTATGAACACAGATGCATTTCATTAAACAGAGAATAACAAAAGCAAATCAGAGAGTTCAGTCTGACTGCATAAACAGAAGCTCTGTGCAACAAACCCCTGACACATTTATGAAGGACAAATAAGGGTAGGAGGTTCAAAACCCGGCTGTTTAACTAATAAATCCTTAAAGAATACTACAGTTACTGCATGATAGCACAGAACCCTAGCCCCCCCCCCCCCCCCCCCCCCCCCCCACACACACACACACACACACACACACAAACTTTATGTGTGTGTGAACAGGATATTTAGTTCCTGGGGACCACACACACACACACACAGCTTGATTTTGTTACACTCACCCCCACAGAGAGCCATGACCTTAGAAAACCTTTTTTATTATTTACACGAGATGTTTGAATTCCAGTTGTAGTGTTTCTGCACAATGTTTAAAAAACGCAGTCCGCTCCGAGCCAAGCCACTCAAACACACAGCCAGGAGTTTTTTCTGCTCCCTGCTCTGACCTTTAGCCTCTCACTGTGATTACTGTATCATGACACCCTCGACCACAGAAATGTTTACTCAGTCCAGACCTGTCCTACACAGGAAATCCTGAAGGTCTCATCCAGAAAAACATCTGAAATAAGTTAAACCTCCTCCTGAAGCTGCGGTAACTGAGTACGGCACCACGTTCTAACACTAACCGAGGTCTAAAACCAGCTCAGGTTCTGTTTTCTGTTAAGTTTCATTCTGAGGCTGAAACAGCAGCAATTATTTGTAATAATCTTAGTGTTTTAGTTAGATTTCAGCAGCTTTTTCACTCATATAAATCACATTGTAGATGCTAAAATACCATTTTACATCATTATTATACATAATTTTGGGATTTTCATAGATTCAGCTAAAGAAAATGGGACCAAGTTGTGTATTTGTGGCAAGCTGCCAGTAACAAACAATCTAAATCCAATTTAAAATAACCTTGAAATTGTTTCTGCACAGCTGTCTGAAAATGACTCCGTTAATATCGTTTATATGGTTACCTGATCCAGCTAAACTAGATAGACAGCTATAATCTACAGGCTGGCTAACATTTCAGAGTTTATCCATTGATTTTTAAATTCATTGTCATTATATTAGCTCTCTACTGGATTACCGTATTACAAAACACCATGCCATAAACCTATTGAACAAAAATGATCGTGCATTAGCGTCACTGCTCATTTCACCGGCTGCAGAAGGGATAATGAAGAGAGTCTGCAGGTCCACAAACTCCACGCCACGGTCATGACGTCAGTTTGCAGAATTGCAGTTTTTACTTTCAGTGCAATTCTGCTAAAACAGGTTAAACCAAACCTAATCGACCACTTGACCTAAAAGCTGCAGTCAAACCAATTAAACCTGGATGTTTTTATGCTGTTAGAAATTTGTGGGTTGGTATAAAACAACATTGTAGCTAATTTTATTTAATCTGAAAGCATTTCTTACACTAATAAATCTGCTTCAGGACCAGTAATTCTGCACTAAATCAGCACATTTCAGCTGAAACACAAAAACGTCATCTCCATCCACCTCTCCTCACCTCCAGACGTTTCTCCTCCCTGACTGAGCGGAACAGCCGGGGGGCCCTCCATGCCTGCTTGTCCCGGCGGCTTCACCTCCTCTTGTCCCCCATCCTGACTGGGATCCTCCACAGCTGTGACCATTGCCAAGCCCTCCACCTTCTTGTTCCTGCCGCTGCCGCAAGTATGCTAAGGCGAACCACCCGCAGCAGCAACTGTCTTCTGTCCTCCAAACCTGCTTTTCAGGCTCTGAACTGCTGACTTTCTAAATGGTTTAAAAAAAAGCAAAAACAGGAGGACAGTGTGAGGGAAGAGGAGGGAGAACAAGGGAAGAGACACAACACGAGAGTCAAATGAAAGGGATTTGAATCAGAGGATAACATGGGGGGGAGGGGGGGGAGGAAGTATTAAGGATGATGAGGGAATTTAAAAGAAAAAAAACAGAAGCGGTTGTGTGAAAAGGTTAAAAATGAACAGGTGTGAAACAAGACAGTAAAGAGGAGACAGCTAGATCGTACACAGAAATGTGGACATGCATGCAGCGCTGGTCAGGCCCCTCCCTCCTCTCCCACTTTAATACCCTCCCATCCTCAACTCCGCCTCTTTTTTGGGTTGATCACTCAGGAACGCACACGCATAATCCCACAATCCTCCCCTGATGGGTTTACTTCAGTACCCCTCCTCTAGCAGCCTGTCTAAAGTCGAGTTCCCCTGTAGTAACACACACACACACACACACACACATTGCATAAGTAACCTACATAAGTCATGCTGAATGGGGCCTGGCCCTACGTTCCCGCTCCTTTCCCCATCATTTCTCTCATTCAGAGAAATTCCCTTGAAGCTCTCAGCTTCCTCAGTCAGCAGATTCTGTCGGCTTCCCCGGCCCTGATCAGCTCACAGCCTCTTTCTTTTAGTTATTTTCCACCCATGTTGTGTCTTCAACACCCGAGCTTCACCTGCATCTGAAGACCTGAGGGGTCCGCAGGACTAAGAACACTTTTGGGAGCTGCTTCAAAACTAGAACTTCTCCAAACCTGAGCCAAATTCTGGCAAACTAATCACTTTAATCTGCATTCTTTAATAACAACTAGTCGTCAACATCGGGCAAAGGTGACGGAAGTGGATGCAAAAATGTATTAATGGAACAAATCCATCCCAACCAGCAGGTCCTGTGTGAAAAAAAACAATCAACCCCCAGAGTCAATAACCGGTTATAACATCACTGTGGATCTAGCAGGAACGACCTGTTTAAGGTCAAAGGTCAAACATTTCCCTACAGTCTTTTCTGTTACAGTGCAGAGTTTATGTTTCTGAGTTCATTCATGACTTAGAAAAGGAGGGTAGTTACAGTTGGAGCAGTGGTTCAGTGGTTTGGGGTTCACCCTGTAATTGTAGGGTTGTTGGTTCAATTCCTTGTTTGTCTGTCTCTGTAGTTGTGTCCCTGGGCAAGACACTTCACACTGCTGTCTGCAGGTGGTGGTCGGAGAGATGGGTGGTGCCTGTAACCAGTGTGTGTGTGTGTGTGTGTGTGTGTGTGTGTGTGTGTGTGTGTGTGTGTGTGTGTGTGTGTGTGTGTGTGTGCGTGCGTGCGTGCGTGCGTGTGTGTGTGTGTGTGTGTGTGTGTGTGTGTGTGTGTGTGTGTGTGTGTGTGTGTGTGTGTGTGTGTGTCTTGTACAGTGCCTTGGAGTCCGGTTATCATCATCATCATCATTATTATTATTAGCAACGTCGTCGTTGTCCACGCAGCACCAGGTAGGTTTGGAAAACGTCCTTCCTCTAATAAATCTAATTTGAAAACTACACCATGTGCGAACTCAGATTAACTCTAACATTACAGCATATGTCCTCACTGCACTGCATACTAAAATATATTTGAAGAGTCTAAAGTAAAATGGACTCCTTGAGAACAAAAAGTGTCTTTTGCTTATAGAAACAGAAATGGCCCCATGCAGCCAAATCCTGCTTCCAGAGGGCCAAAAACACAGATGTCCTGTCCTGAGGCCAGGTGGGCTCTTCGTTCACCACTCGCTGGTGTTTTCTACAGCACACAGCCAGACTCATCCCCTTCAGCATCCATCAAGCTCCTCCCACAGGCAACACAACTGGAGCAGAGCTGTAGGCTTTAATCTACTCCCACAGCCCCTCCCCCATCTCAGGAAACGGGATTATAATCCAGCCATGAAAGCACAGGATTAGAGCATCTCCCTCGTTCACCATCATCTGCCCTTAAAATGTCTCCACAAGCATCACCTAATGAGTTTTTTAATGAGAGGCATATTTTTAACATAAAGCCTGAAACAATAGAAATCTGATTTATAAACCAAGAATTATCTGTTGGTTTGTCTTTAGCGGGGATTTCAGTCCACAGTACATCTTTACTCTAAAGGTGTGTTTACCTGGGTCCAACCCTACTGCCTACTGGCTGCTCATTGGTCCACTGTGAAGACCTGCAAGAGACACAGGTAGATCATCAGTATTCATGTATCACTCACACACACACACACACACACACACACACACACACACACACACACACACACACACACACACACACACACACACACACACACACACACACACACACACACACACACACACACACACACACACACACACACACACACACACAACTCCCAGGCATCTAATTGTGTTTGGCTGTTGAAGCATGCTTGCATCATCAGCTGATGTGGCACAGTCAGTGCTGTGAATGGCCACTTTTTTCTGGAAGTAATGACAAAGCACACATCAGACAGTCTGTGCACCAAAGAGTAATTTGAAGATGAACATATGAATGTAGAGTAAAATCTTAAAAACAGCATGTCTTCATTAAGGTTTCTCAGTCCAGAGACGGTTGTGTGTTCTCGGGGGTCTACAAGTCTTAAAATGCAGCTTTGATTTACCATTTCATCCTCTCACTGGCGACAGTATGCAACTAGGATTGGGGCAATATTACATTTAACTTGTACGGAAGCGTATTACCGTCATTGCGGGGTAAAAAAAACTCAGGACCATTATCTCGTAATCACGAGAAATGTTCTCATTAAAACGTGATATAAATATCGTTTTAACGACAAAGTTTCTTGTTATTACGAGATACTTTCTTGTTAAAATTAGAAAACTTCCTCATTAAAACGTGATTTATATCACGTTTTAACGAGAAAATGTTTCGAAATAACGTGTTCTATAACTTGTAATAATGACATGAATAATAAGGCGGGTTTTTACGGAAGCGTATTACCGTCAGTGCGGGGTAAAAAAAACTCAGGACCATTATCTCGTAATCACGAGAAATGTTCTCGTTAAAACGTGATATAAATATCGTTTTAACGACAAAGTTTCTCGTTATTATCAGATACTTTCTTGTTAAAATTAGAAACTTTGTCGTTAAAACGATATTTATATCACGTTTTAACGAGAACATTTCCCGTGATTACGAGATAATGGTCCTGAGTTTTTTTACCCCGCACTGATGGCAATATGCTTCCGTAAACTTGTACCAAGTTTTGCAACTGTGACTTTTGTTTTGTAGCATGTAATTCATGTTTTGTAACACGTAATTTTTGTTTAGTAACATATAACTTTCTATTTTGTAACGGGTACGTTTAGTTTTGTAGCATGTAATTCTTATTTTGTAACATAACTTTGGTACGTAACATGAAACTTTTATTTTGTAACTTGCAGAAAAAAATCTTTGTACAAGTTTCAAATCACAACTTTCAAATGACAAATCTCAGTCTACAGTTACAAAACTCAAGTCTACAAATACAAAACATTTGGTCCCAACTCTAGCTCACTTCCAACAGGAATTGTCTTCGACAGGAATCCGAGACTCATGATTGGCTGGTCAGACAAAGCCTGTCATTGGTTCTTTGGGAAGGAAGCTAGAATTGGGACAAAATGTTTTGTACTTGTAAACTTGAGTTTTGTAACTGTGGACTGTGATGTGTGTTTTGAGAGTTGTGATTTGAAACTTGTACGTTGATTGTTGTCTGCAAGTTACAAAAGGAAAGTTTCATGTTACGTACCAAAGTTACATGTTACAAAATAAGAATTACATGCTACAAAACTAAACGTACCTGTTACAAAATAGAAAGTTATCGTCGTCGTCGTCTTCCTCCGCTTATCCGGGTCCGGGGTCGCGGGGGCAGCATCCCAAGAAAGTTATATGTTACAAAACAAAAGTTACGTGTTACAAAACATGAATTACATGCTACAAAATGAAAGTTGCAGGTTATAAAGCTTGGTACAAGTTACATGTAATATTGTCCCAATCCTAGTTCCATACTACAGCGCCAGCTTCCCATCACCAAAGTGTTCTATGTCAGGTCTGAAGTTTGCCCTTAAGTTGCCACATTCTTCTGTCAAGTTTTGCTTTATAAATCAGAGATTCGCATGGAAACACAGTTTTCAGACCCAGCTTCGTGCGTAAGCAGATCTAAACGAGTTTACTTTTCAGCTAAGATTTAAAACATCAAACTTTTTGACCACAGAATTAACTGATGAGACGTTTTTTGAAATAAATCCTTTGCAATATTGTCCTTTCTGTGCTTCACTTTGGTTTTTTTGGTCCATCTATTAGAGTAATGAGTCCCCTGCTGCAGGAGGGGTCAAACGATTATGCAACACGGATTACAATCACGTTCAAACGGTTTATTGGAAGTGAAAGAAATCCCTTGGAGGAATGTTAACAGAGGAACTCCACAGGGCAGGAGCCAGGATGGTTCAAACTCAGCCAGGAAGGAAGGATGGACCTTATGTGAGAAGAATGTTTGGAGATGGGCAGAGAAACGTAAGATTTAAGTGGAGTCGAGGGAGAGATGGAGAGCCTGAGAGTGAGGAACAAGAGGGCAGATCAATCTTTAAAGATTGGACCGTGTTGAGGGAAAAACCTCACAGCGAAGACATGAGAGTCTTGAAAGAACAAAGAGGGAGGTTCTACTCAACAACTTTACGTATCAGTAAAAATACGACCTGGAATGTCTTGCTAGAGGAAATTATTATGCATGAATCTTTTCACTCCTAAATCCGTGACACTTTGGATTTTTCTGACCAACTCGTTTCTTTTTACTCTGAGCATGTCCTGCTTCTGGAGCTTCTGATATCTAGTTCCTCTCTGATCCTCCTCCCTCCTCTGGGACAGAAAGAGGGGGGAAGGGGGGGGGGGGATTAACCCTTTGATGCATAATGGTCACTACAGTGGACAGGTACTAAAAAATTGTTATTTATTTATTTTTGCTATTAAGCACAGCTGTTGAAGACTTTATTGTATGTGAGCGCCTCCATTTGGACTTCAGTAAGGCAAGCCAACATATTTCATGTTCAGAATGCACGCTGTCCACTGAGATGGACATGTAATAAAGTATTTGTAAATTAACAAAATGTTACAAAAAATATTTGTTGAAATTTGTTTCATTCACACCTAAAGATGAATGAAAAAAATTGTTTAAAAAATCATGGTTGAAGGTCTCATAATTCATGCATCAGAGGGTTAAAAGAGAGAGGAGGCATTTCCAATCCTGGCTGCCATTGGCTGGTCCGTATGAAAGCACGAGCCAACAAAAGCCCTCTGAGCGCCCCGGTTACCGAGCATGCAGATGATGGACGGCTGGCGGAAGAGGGATCATGAAGGGAGATCAGAGGGTTTGTTTTTGTGCTAAACATCACTTCCGTTTCACTCATGGTGCCAGACACATTTGTCAGATTAGAAGCACTGATTCAGGTTCCTCTCCTGAACACGGCCCAAAGAAACCCATGGTTCATTTCATTGTCTGCCATCTTGTGCCCCGGGCTCTGAGGAGCACAGGAGAGCCGGCGTCACTTTCATTTCCTCTCAGTGGATGAAGAAACACAAAGATGGAATCTGGAAGTCTCCAAAGCTGCAACGACCGCAGTCTGAGTCAAAAAACTGTCATATACTAAATATCATAACTGGCCCCTCCCATCCCACCATGCCTGTTACCCATCACCCTCCACCCTATGTAGGTCACTTCATTTGTTAACACGGCCGCTCAATAAAAGGATTACACTGCCAACCCTAAGACAGTCATGTTAGCAGATCAATATCAGCAAAATATTCCAGAATACCCCCTCAACAGCAATCCGCCTCAACAATCTGCTCCTGAAGACCAGAACACAACTTCTGTTATTGCTGCTGACTCATGCCTCTCACTACCGAACACTGAAACAGGAGTGGACTGTCTGAAATGGAAGACTTGATCAAAAACAGCCCTAGATTGTGCCCGCAGGACTCTCCAGCAGCTGAAGCGTTGGTTATATTGCCCAGCTTGGTGTGAAATAATTACAAAGCTAATCAGAACCTCTCAGTGATGATGGCAGAGATCTTAATGATCGTGGTATAATCGGATCTGCCACATGGTCTTGTTCCTCCCAGCTGATTCTAAATGATCATTAAAGATCTGCTGCAATCACTCTCACTGGGTGACGATGAGTGGAGTAAAAAACGAGTCAAGAGACAAATGAGTCCGTCAGTGATCTCTGCAGAAGCCTTAATCAGAGGTTTGTTGGAATACGATGTGGAAACTTCACATCCAGCAGTGTGAACGACTGGAGAGGATCCGTCTGTTTGGTCTGATCGATCCACAGCAGCAGCGTGGCAAGCTGTTATGTCATATAACATGATACTGAATCGATATTTAAAGCTGCTATGATTCATCTGCAAACAAGCTAGGTTTTGAATCCAAACACAGTCACAGAACGCTCACCCCTCCCTTCGGGTATCTTTCCTGAGATGCTTCTGCCAGACCAGAAAACCCACGATGCCAGAGGAAACGAGAGAGCGCTAAACACCAGTCGCCATGTTCTAGGTCCAAACATCTTCTGTTATCCGTGACTTCAAATGGTGTTTTTCTTTTTGGGACTCTGGTAGTTTGTCCTGCAGCTGAAGTGGTAGCAGCCAGCTGTTTTCCCTCCTCTGATGTTACTGAGCGGAGAACCTCTCACACCAGTGGTGTTCTGCTGCAAAATACGCCATGGTCCAAAAGTTGCTTTCGGTACACAATGTGTTATTAGTGGACAAAAGAGAGAACCACTTTTTTTTTTGTCTCCTCACTGTTTATAGTTAAACTATGTTAGAACTTTAAGAGGCAGGAAAACAATGTTTAAGCTCATTTGTTTTCCAATTTTTCAACCGCAGCTTTAAAAGCAGTGAATCATTTTTTTAATTGAGAATTTACAAGCAAACATTGACTGCTGGGGTATTCTGTCCTGAAAGGCCGGTATCCAGCACGTTTTAGTGGTTTCTCTGCTCCAACACTATTCAGTGGTTAAATCACCTGTGCAGCAGCTCATCAGCCTCTGCAGAGGCCTGTTAATCACATACTAATTGAAATCAGGCGTGTTGAAGCAGAGTTAAAACCACAACGTGCTGGATACCGGCCCTTGAGGCACGGAGCTGAATAGCCCTGGTTTAATGTATTTTTTGTATGAT